TCCTGCAGGGTTCCAACCCGAACCCACCAAAGGCCAATCGAATTCCGCTCTTCGTAGCAAGTTCCAAATGGTTATTGGTTCCCTTCTCTACCTTATGTTGGGCACACGTCCCGACATCTCCTTTGCTGTTACCAAGCTTGCACAACATGCAGCTAACCCATCTCAAGAGCACCTTAACAAGGCACTCTATATTTGCCGCTACCTCCTAGGTACTAGATCATACGCACTTTGCTATGACGGTGAATCGGGTATTGGTCTCAGCGCTTGGACTGATTCGGATTGGGCTTCCGATCCCTATACACGCCGGTCACAGACTGGATTTTTCATGAAGCTTGCCAATGGCATCTTCTCTTGGACCAGCCATGCGCAGAAGACAATCGCTCACTCGTCTACAGAGGCTGAGTATATGGCATTGTCTGATTGCAGCCGTCAAGTGGTTTGGATCCGTAATCTACTTGAAGAACTAGGCTATAAGCTTGACGCTATTCCTATTGCTGGAGACAATCAAGGATCCATTTTCATGGCATCTAATCCTGTCACTAGCAAGCACTCGAAACACATTGACATCCGATATCATTATATCCGTGAAGTTGTTGAACGTGGCCTTGTGCAAGTATTCTTCGTAGATGGCAGTAACAACCCTGCAGATCTCTTCACAAAGAATCTTGGGCGTATCAAATTTGAGCTATTCCGCTCAATGCTTGGACTTGAGTTCTACTCGTCCACCAATCCTTAGGCTGTCTGTCCTGTCTGACGCCTACCGCTATTGCTTTGAGCAAAGTACTTTACTGTGCTGCTCAGCAAGGGGGTGTGTTGAACGCGGCTATGCTGTTCACATGCCACTAATATGATCATGTGTTATGATATGTCATATGTAGTCATATCTAGTCATTTACTATATGCGGATTCCTCTGTACTTCCTTATGTAATACTGTCATACAGTTATGTATATAAACAGGCCATATCCTGTACTGGAATCCAACTCGCTTCTCTCTTACTTTTATTGCCTCTCTGAGACTCTAAGCCCTACTACCCAGGTAAGGTGCTGGAGAGTGTTCCACTATGCACTACCTGCCTGCTCAACACAAGGATCGTTATCATTCCTTGCTGCCAGAATCTGCCAAGAGTTTTAGAGTTTCAGAATTTCCTTGGGCTATTTAGGACGAATTCCAACGAGGTATAGTACTCTAGATTGAAGGCGAAATCAGGCACATGATGGGGCCTAAGCCTGAATATCTTACGTTGAATGGAGGCTCGGAGGGTGAGTGGAAAATTCCCTCTCAAATCAAAATCAAATAACAAGACATAATATACTATTCGTCAATGGTGAACTCGTCTCAGTGACTTGACATACGTGTTTCGTAGTCAGAAAGCTAGACTCTTCCCGCGACTGCAGTCACTGCTCTAGTATCCCCTGACTAAGTTAACCTCCTGCCGTTCGTACAAACGTATAAAAGGCCTCGGATGAATGATTTCCTACTCCACAATTTGCATGGTGCAAAGACATTATCCCTGATATCTGAGCTGGTCTCCTGACTTCCTATCCTCTACTCACTACAAAAAACCCCCCACTTATTATTTCTATTATGTCTGCGTTTGTGAATTTAAAGGAGTATATGTACGACTCTCAAGATCGAATTGGCGTTATCGTGCCGAGGGAGATGAGGCCTGTAACAGAAGAGGGGTATACGCAGTGCGTATACCCCTCTTCTGTTACAGGCCTCATCTCCCTCCTCGCTATCCTCCAATTATTCGACCGCTGAAATCCACAACGGTTCTCCTCCTCCATACGGCCCGCCACTTGTACCCCTCGTCCGCGGATCTGAACAACATCCCGGGGTTTGAGACTAAGAGGTGTAAATCATGCGTTTGTGCAGTTGATGGAGACTGGGGGTGTGACGCCGTTTGATTTGTGTGGCGTACGTGGGGGTGGCCGACGCGTAAGTGGTGTGGGAGTGAGTTAAGTGGAGGGGCGGAAGGAGGAGGAGTAGAAGACCCAACTCAATGGTCGGATATCACTAGTTCCTTGACGAGGCAGCAGAGTTCTTCCAGCACCTCAACTACTTCGACGACATCGAGTACCGCCTCGTGGTCGTAGGCGTGGGGGGTTTATAGGCAGATAAGTTTGTGTAGAGATTCAGTGGCTCTTTGTAAGGGATGTAGGAGAGAAGAGGGGATGTAAGAGGGGCCTCGGAGGGATAGCCTGACAATGGGGAAGGAGTTGAATATATTTGTTTCAGTTTAGTTCATGTTGTTACTATCAATCGAGGAGTGTCTTGATCATTAGCAACAGTCCTGGTGGGTTCACAGGAAAGACTTTCACAAATCCACAGAGAGGGAGGGGAGTACAGGGAAAGGGGGGTTTAATGTATTGATTTTACGTTTACTCGATGTTATGTCTCAACGTCGACTCTAGATCTGGGTGTGTGTAACCGCCTCAATGACTTATCATCCGCTAGGTAAATGTACATATATGACCGCTATCGATATCGATATCTTACGATTTGTACATTTGGAAGCTATTGGACGGCGGCATGTCGGTCGGTCGTATTGGGTGTGGGGGGTATGTGGGGGTATGGGGGGTATGTAGAGGTATGTAGGTGTGGGGGGTACGTGGTGTCAAGGTATAGCGCAATTGACTCGGATGGGTGAATGAATATCGAATTTTGAACGTTGAATGTTGAACGTTTGAACAGGGGAGGGGTGGGGATGAGGGAGGGGGGGAGTTGAACTTGAATCGGAGATGGCTTTTTGAATTTTTTCACATTAGTAATTGGATGGGTCCGAATCGTAGAGTAGGTATGAGTATTATTAACCTAACCCAATGCTAAATAGAGAAAGTCAAAGTCTTTCATCCCCAAGTGTTACTATATATTGGGAGTAAATACACAGGGATATCATTCAATACTCTATTTGAGGAGCTCACTCAACCACCACCACCCATAGTGAAGGATTGAGGATCCACTTCACCACTTCCCATTGCCATTTTAATCAATAAATAATTGGGCATTTTCAGGCCATCCATGATCTACTTGATTATAATTAGTTTCCATTCCATTCTTATCATGATTTCTTCCCCCTTTTCTCTCCAACCACCACCTCTGGACACCAATGTCAATGAGATATAGTACCTCTATCGAAAGAGTGCGACTGAAAGGAACTGGATGAACCGTTTAGAGATGTACGCACTGTCAACAATGTAGTCGGCGCTATAGCCGGACAGCAGCCGACATCAGCAAAACATGTATACTGTTGCTGGCATGCCAGTACCGGAAATGGCTTCTACTAGCACTATCCAGCACTGGTCAGCACTGGCAGGAGGCCCCAGTGGCCTCCACTCCATGCACCATTTGCTGAGATTTATGAACAATATGATACATATATTATAAAAACCACTAAGTTCATGCCATGCGCACAGTGCAGTGGCCCACCATCCCATCTACCTGTTAGGATCTATCTCAGTTGTGTGTAGAGCAACTGAGGGACTCAAAAAAGTCTGTCTACATGATATATGTACTGCTATACAGTATAAGCTAATAATGCCGGAATGGATTGTCTAGGCCTAAGCTTGTATGTGCGGAGTATCTCCCCAACAGTACCTAATTATACATATTCATTACCGATCAGTTGACAGGCTCCAGTGATTGGATGGTTGTTGCCAACTTATCCAGTGAGACTGATGGATTGGTTATTTAGTCAATCAATGTCATGTTGCTGTAAGTTTCCCCATAAGTCACAAAAACTTGATTTATGATAATTTCCACCCTGTGTAATTATTATTGTTGATATTTAAGGATGCCATTGTTGAGATTTGGTGTACTAAAGTCCTGGGGGCTGGTGCGTACCCTCCTCCCCATATAAACTTTGACTTGCCAACCACGGCAACATGGCATCAGAACTACAGAGAGGGTACAATGGACCCAGCTACACCACCAACCGTGTATTGACTCGATTGGAGATAACAATGGAATGTTGAGAGAAGGAAAGATTGAAATCTCTAAGCTAGATAATTATGAGCTCTAGACTAGCTGAACAGGTGGAAATCAGTGAGAGACCTTGACTGGATGATATTAGTGGGTGATAATCTCGAGGAATTGGTTTTGGTCCAGTAACCAGATCTTCAGAATGTGCTGTGAACCTCACATGGAGATTTAGCTTCAAACCCTCTTCTGACACTTCAAAATGCCCGGAAAACCTCGACACATATTTTCCCCCAGGTCAACAAGTCCAGCCCTCAACTCTGACACGTGTACAGTTAAAAATTCATATTTTCGAAGATTCACTTTCTCTCTTCATCCCTTCCACATCCTCGCTTTTCTTTCACAAGTTTATCAGAGCTCTACTTCATTGCTTATTCTATGAGTACATCTCATTCTAACATCTAGACTAATTTACACTGATGATACTTTGACCCTTAGTAGCATATTTCTTCCAGCTCATCAAAGAGGATTCTGGATATAATAGGGATGACCCTTATTTCAACTAGCAACTCTGCTCAGGTAATACCTGGGTGCAAGGTTGGATACTTATCTTGTTGTTTATGAAACTTATGCACAGAAATTTTGTTTGGAAATTTTATTTCATCAATTTTATGTAATACTTCCCCTAAGTCAAAAGTCTTGACTTATAGAAAATTTGCATCAATTTTTGAAACTCTTCAGTAAGTAGCAGCAACTTATGTAGATTTGCACCCTGTGATTATGATCTGATTGAGGAAACTTATCTGCAGTTTGTTGCATTTAACCCCTGCGAATCTGCTCATTGTGACTCAAGTACATGTCACCCCACTCACAATAGATTGGGTGTGGGTAAAGTGCTTAAGGAAACCCCTTTGAAAGTACTAGGATTCAGATTCTGCAACCAAAGATGTGAATCTCTCCTCTTGAACTCTCTTAGGGTATACACCAGCTAGATATCCAGCATTGACTTCATGTTACAATTGGGACCTCAAATTTGAGATCAGTAATAATGAAAATACAGCTACGAAGCCGTAGGCTCCTTCAATCATTCCAGCAGTGTTCAAGTTTGTCCATGCATCCATTGGGATTGTCCCACATGAACTAGTAACTGATAATAAGGATCATGCATACAACAGTCAATGAAACTCACAAAGTGGTTGGCACCCTCATTCACTGTGAAGTGAATGGCTGGATCCTTTCTATCTGCTGCCTTAGACTCTGCCTCCCAGGTCCACCAGCAGTAGATGATATTCCAAGGATTTTTATCACCGAACATTGCCCATATGTTCATGTTCTTCCATGCAGCTCTTATATCTGGATCATATAAAGCCTTATTTGCAACTTCTTTTTCTACAGCAAGATAAGGAGTTTGACACAGATGTGTGTCACAACGTGCACCAGGTGATAAGTCAATGATTTTGACTAAATCGTCTTCATGAAGACCTTCAAATGTGTGTTTCCTGGTATCATCATGATCACATTGGTTCAAAGACGAAAAATCATGCTTCGAGAGGTCTCCATGTGGAAAGTAAGAGGTCAGCCATTTTGCAAACACTGCACCACGATTTTCAATTGGTGTGCTCTCATCCACAAAGGGATGATAGGTTCCTGGAGGAAATGGAATGCCCATTGGCTCACATGGGACATCTATGAGTGGATTACATCATGAGAACGTACATGTCAAATGCGAAAGGGTGTAGGAGAATTTAGAGAATTCAGAGAAGGATGACGTACCCCATAAAATGCTCCTTTTCACAAAAAGTCCCAGTCTGCATTGGATATCGACAGGAAGGGTAGTAATAGAGGCCAACAGAGGAAGTCCAAACATATTTCCCAATGACCATGAGACAATGGCAACCCCGTTAGTTTCAGGAAGGGACAATGATTGGATTAACCCATCAAGAAGAAATGCAAGGTCATGACCATCATTGATGAGCTGGCAGTATCGTTCTTTGTCGGGCCCTTCTGCAAAGACTTTTAGCTCTGCCGGACTGTATGGAGAAGAACCAGGGTATTCTCGTCGGTTCACCAGGAGAACTCTGTGCCCACGAGTAAGTGCTATTGGAAGAAGTGGCTTGAAGAGTCCTGGAAAGTCAGGTTCACTTCACCAAAACCTAGTGATTGTTGTACTTAAGCTTACCACTATGATACGTATGCCCATGGATAATGAAAAAGGTGATGTAGTTCTCTCTATTCGGTACACCACTGTCTTCATAAAAGAATTTTACGTGGTTAGGGAGTGTAAAAATTGGCATTTCGTGGGGGTGAAATGGAAGTATGGCTTGGTGCTTACAGGGCACAGAACATTTGCAGTACCACTTGCAGTGACATGTGCAGGGGTATTGCAGTGACATGTGCAGTGACATGCAGTAGCACACAGTAGCACTGCAGTTACTTAAATGTATATGTAAATAAATGGTCTTCCACTGTACAAAATATACCCATTCTATGAATGCTGTGTCCGACAACAGCAGATGGTATAATGGCCCGGAGGGGCTGAATAAGGCTGAATATCAAAATCGGATAGTGATCTTATCATTCCGCCCAGCCCGCTGCCAGGCTTCTTCTCGATGCAAACTTTCTGTATCTTGTATCATTAGAGCTTTGGCTTTGTAAATAATATCCTCTTGTACCAGAATATGATACTAGCTGGTGTTCACAAAGCTGGCCTTATTCCTAATTTCACCATCAATGATTTGGATGGACATTTCGGATAACCAGGGTCGAAAATTGATGGGTTATGAATTTATTATAAGTACATCTGCAAAACCTGTATTTTCGGCTAAGGGTCCGAAAGCAGTTGAGAGCATCTCCCAGCAGTGAAAGCACTCAGAGCAGTCTGCTCTCAGTGCTTTCAGTACTGGGATCTGCTCTCAGCCCTTAGCCGAAAATCCATGTTTTGCAGATGTAGCCACTGCATTGCGAGGAGATTTATTTCGCCCCCATCAGAAATATTTACTACACCAAAGTTTGAAATTGCTTCCAATGTCTTTTTGGACAATGAACTTGGTATACAGGCATTTGACTTCAAGCATCATACTTGTTTATTCACAGCTTTCATATGTAGAGCAAAATTCAGCAGGGAATTGCCTCTTTCATTAGCCCTAGCCCTACTACAGAAGCACACTTTACCCAAGAAATCCAAAGTAATGTGCCCAATAATCGTATGTTTGTATTCTGGCAATTCTAATCATTCATTCACTAACCCAAATCTATTTAAGCATCAAAAGCAGTGCTCCACCTCCTACTATTCCTGGGCACATGAATACCATTACAACCAATCAGCACATGGTCTCATCACAATCACAACTTCCTTTTTATCATACCTCCAACTATATGCACTCCACACTTCCACTTGTGTCTCATCCACAAATCAATGGTCAATATTTCATGGTCCCTCCTTCCAACTTTACACCAGCAATTCCATATCATCCTGTTTCAGGTTCCACTCAAGTACCAACTTTGCTTCCATCCCAAACTACCAACCAGCACCATTTGTCTAGTGAACAGCAGATTGCAAATCAGATCCCAATGGAGGTCCATTTGCCTTCCCCCACTTTAGACAAAAACACACTTCAATTGCAGACACATCTTCATCTGCAAAACCTGGATATTCGGCTAAGGGCTGAGAGCAGATCCCAGCAGATCCCAGTGCTGAAAGCACCGAAAGCAACATGCTCTGGGTGCTTTCACTGCTGGGAAGTGCTCTCAACTGCTTTCGGACCGTTAGCCGAAAATACAGGTTTTGCAGATGTTTCTCCTGAGAAAAATCAGACCTTGGCATTCACCCCTACTTTCTCAAATCAAGTGGGCTCTGCTCAACCTGATATTCCCTTGACAGGCCCTTATGTCAACAGGGACACCCAATATGTCTGTTTGAGTGATCTTCCAGAGGGAAAATGTGTATTTTTGCAATCAGATTGATCTATAATAACATTTTGTATAGTGCAGCTGATACTCCCAAGGCAATATCGGGACGTATATTGTATGTGCCATTGAACAAATGATAAATCCTTTGATTATTTTCTCTAAACTCTCTACAGCAATGGCAAAGGTGTTCTGGTCCGGGATGGTTTATTTTTCTTCCCTGCCCGTCTCATTCAGAAAGGCCATAAGTTTTGCTCTATCCAATGGTGGAGGCACAATATACCTGCTGTTAGAATATAATCACGTTATATTCAGCAGCAATGGCAGTAAGAGATAAAGTGCACACAGCACTGTAGTTGATCACACAGATCAGACGATAAAGGAGTAGAGAGGACTGCTTATTCGACAAGACAAATACTACAGGTTTATATACAAGTCCAAGGTAGACGATGTCATGTTACAGCTAAACATAGCGAGAGAGAAAGGAAGTACAATACGATGTATCCTACTGGTAGTCCTATAGTAATAGTACACGATGGTGGGATTGATAACACAACGGTGAGACTGATAACACGATAGTGAGATAGTGGTTTGTAATAAGAGAACAATGTTCCATAGATGGTATGTGAGTCATCAAATGTTAACACCTGCACCTGGTTCTTCACAACAACCTGGAAAGATTGCCAAGGTATCTATTGAAGATATTAAAGATGAGTTATGGCAGAACAGAGCAGCCAGGAGGAGAATTCGGGTAAGAGTCAATGAATGGATAATATTGGTTAGTTGACCCATTTACAGCTTGGCAAATGGGTACGAGCATTTATTGCAGAGGAACAAGCAGAGGCTGCTTGGGAAGATTCAAAGTTCCTTCCATTCAGTTCTGAGATTGACAGGGCTTTACAACCAAATATAGGAATACTGACTCAACTTATGAATAATCCAGATAGTGTTATGGATAGTTTGTGCCCAGCCAAAAAATGGCAAGCTGGCATGAAAAGAACTACCAAAGCCATAGAGCACTCTGGAGGACTCACTGTAGATGATTGTGCTCGTATCAATAACTGGTTCTATACAGTGATACCAGGTGCTTCACAAAAGCAGCATATATGGATCGGTGTCCTACCTATTGCACATGCTCGCACCTTGGTACTTTTGCACTGGCATCAATCAGAATTCATTCATGAAGTAGAAGGGGCCAGTATAGTTGAACTAGCATTCAATAGACTTGTAGCTTGGACAGGGAAAACAGTTGATGGGAAGGACAAGTTGTATGAAAGAGTTGATGTGGATCTAGAGGCATTGCAGTTACTCGAAAAATCAGTCTTTGATATTTCTGAGGATGCAGGAGTTGCAGGAAATCAACAATGGGGTCTTGATGCTGGATCTCATCTGCAAAACTGGAATCCCTGGCAAGAGTATGGTCCTGAAAGCCATTGCACAAACAAATGTGAAGGAGATGATGAGGTTGAGTGCCAGGTAGGTAAATTATATTTCAAATAAAGACATGTTTTCTGATTGTTGTTTGATTTGACGTAGCATGGCCCAGATTTTATAGATGACCAGAAACAACACTTACTAAATACATTCAGCAATCAGCCAAAAGCATGGCCTAATCAAGTCAAAAAGTGGTGGATAAATGATGATAATTTGGCCAATAAGAACTCCAAAAAGCAAAAACTGAATGTATAACAATACATACACTGTCCCCTCGAATTTTCCAATCAAAGTATTCATTATATCAAGTATCTCCTACAGTTTAACTTGTTTTTGTAGGTCCTTATCCAGTGTTTATACATGGCTCTATGTCTCTTATTTAGGTTCTTCAACCTCAACCTGGCAATATCATGAGATTGGAAGAATGTTTTCCATCATGACTTTTTTATGATATTCCAGCCCTATTGGCCCAAATCAGCAATGCAAATTCCTTCCCTTCATAATCTTAACTATTCACAAATGACCCAGAATGATTCCAATGATTTCCATGCAAAGGTACAGAGCCCTATTGCCCACAGTGAGACTGCAAGTAAGTGCCAAGAACAATGCAGGTGAATGCAGTAACAGTGCAGGTAAGGTGCAGGCTGATGCAGTCACAGTGCAGGTAAGGTGCAGATGTGTGCAGTCACAATGCAGGTGAGGTGCAGGTGTGTGCAGTCACAGTGCAGGTGAGGTGCAGGTGTGTGCAGTTACAGTGCAGTTGCATGAGGTCACAATGCAGGTGTGTGCAGTTACAGTGCAAGTGCATGCAGTTACAGTCCAGGTGAATGCAGGTAAGAGGTAGGAGCATGCTGATGCATCTGTATATCCTGGATTTTTGTCTAAGAGACTGACTGCCACTCAAGTAGTTTCTAGAAATTGCTTTCAGTGCTTTTGGCTGGACAATGCTGTTCAGCTAGTACCCTTGCTGTCATGATCATCTAGGTTTTGCAGATGGGTGAGTACAATGATAGGCACAAGTAAATATTGTGAATATGTCTACTACTGGTTCTTATGTGCAGTTTTGAACCCCAAGTGCTTGTGACATAACTAAGCATATATGACTTACATTCATTTGTAAACCAAGCAAGATATCAACTCAATGTGCATATGCGTATCTTGAAATAGTTGAACATGCGGCAAATATGAACTCAAAATTGCATGACACAATCAGACAAGATACATATGAATGCCGGCATTTATATGTCGAGAGTGTAATGCAGGCGCATGCAGGTACACTGCAGTGGAGTGCAGATACTATGCAGTGACTGCCACTGCAGGTGGCACTGCAAATGCTAGTGGCCCGAGGTACACTGCAGTGGAGTGCAGATACTATGCAGTGACTGCCACTGCAGGTGGCACTGCAAATGCTAGTGGCCCGTGCTTACAGCGTATTCAAAAAACCTTGTCAGTAGCGTAAAAAATGAAATAAAATAAAATAAAATCCAAAAGGTACCCGACCTTTAGCCGACCGCTTGGCGAGTGCTGTCCTGTCACCTCCTGTGCTGTCCAGTTGTGAGATGTCATTTCAACAACTTCCAACTGGTTAGCAGTGCTTCGTCTGGACTCTGTTGTCTTCAGGACATCTCTGGCTATCTCTGGGTTGTCTTAGTGCAAGCCTTGGCCGTGTACTGGCATCTGACTGCCATTCTCATGTATCCAAGGATATCTAGAGGCAGCCTGCCCCCTCCATATGCTCCACCTTTGTATGATTGCAGATCTCTTGCTTCTGAGGTAGGACTAGTAACAGATGATGATGCCTCTGGAGAGTCTGACCATGCCAGGAGGAGTTCCATTGACATTGTGATCCTTCAGTGGACTTGTTACCTCCACCAGCCTCCAGCCTCCACCACTGGCATGGAAGATCATTGTCAAAAGGCGCAAGTGACAGCACACTCACCAAGCGGTCGGCTAAAACGTCGGGTACCTTTTCGATTTTATTTTATTTTATCTCATTTTTTATGCTACTGACAAGGTTTTTTGAATACGCTGTAAAGAATATCTGCTCTTCATGTTCCTTCCTTCAGCTACATGGAGAATATGAAGCCCATCAATTTGCTTCACCGTTATCAGTATTGTATTGTCTCCACATCCTGTGATGGTCACACATTGCATGATCAGAACTCTCCTTTAGATCACAAATTCCCGAGTTCTTGTGATAGTGGTGTCCCGGTGATACCATGTGCCTTTTGAGGGTTCCGGCACACTGAAGAGTTAGCACCAATGTCAATCAAAAGTCGCCATCTTTGTACCCTGAGTTATCATGATGATGATGCCCTAGTAATACATGTGGAGTGCCTTTCAAGGGTTCCGGCGCCACAATGGTTGCACTGAGGAGTTAGCACCAATAGCAATCAAAAGCTGCCATCTTCGTGATTCAGAATGACATGAATGGCCAGTGCCTTTTGGGTTTCCGTTGCACGGCAGTTCTGAGAGCACTCCGAGATGAATTTCATCATATGACAGATGTCCCATGATCAGCACTCTCCTTTGGATCACCAATTTCCGAGTTTTTGTGATGATAGTGTCACATCACCGACTCTGAAAGAGGAGGTCCTTGTTCGCACCAAATGGCAATCAAAAGTCGTGAATTTTTGTGATGGTAGTGTCCCAGTGACACAAATGTGCAGTGCCTTTCGGGGGTTCCGGCACACTGGTTTGCACTGGTTTGCAGCATTTTGCAGTCTGATGCAAATGTGCTGTACTTTCGGGGTTTCCGGTGCACTGCGGTGCACTGCTCAGAGAGGCTCAGAGCTGTTCCCATCCATCTCAAGGGGAACACACACATTTTTAGATTCAACATGACAATGGGAGAGAGGTAGATAGATGTACTCTGGACATACCTGCTTATGCTGCCAGGCTACTATGTGGGTTTGTTTTTTAAGCACACTTTCTACATAGAAAGGGAAATTAGGTTTCATATTCAACTAAAATATTGACTTTCAGAGTCGGGGACTGCCGTGCGGGGTGCGGCGCTAAAGGATTGATATATGTGCAGTGCCTTTTGAGGGTTTCGGCACACTGAAGAGTCAGCACCAATGGCAATCAAAAGTTGCCATCTTTGTTCCCCGAGTTATTATGATGATGATGTCCTAGTGATACATGTGGAGTGCCTTTCAAGGGTTCCACCACAATGGTTGCAGTGAGAAGTTAGCACTAATGGCAACCAAAATTCCCCATCTTCATGATTCAGAATGACCTGAATAAGCAGCGCCTTTCGATTTTGCAGTGCACTGCAGTTCTGAAAGCACTTGAAGGTGAAATCACATCTTGTGTGTAACAAAGTGATTGTGTAAATGTACCCTGGATGTACCTGCTTATGCTGAGCCTACTATTTGAGTCTTTTTTGTTTAAGCTCTTCCATGATCCTGTGAGGTATTGCACTGATTTTGGAAATGAACTTGGGATGATTTGTTTCTTCTGGCCATACACAGGCAAAAAGTGGAGATACGGTGCTTCAAAAATGGCATGTATCTCATTATGGATAAACCAAGAGCACTTCCAGTAACCGCAAAAGCCGCAGTGGCAGTGGAACGTATGTCATCTTGATTGTTCTGACAAAGAAGAAAGTGTGATTGACTATATGCTTGATGACTTTGTATCTGTATAATGATGGTAGTTCAGTAATACCCCACTTACTTCTCTGGGCATTTTCCTGGAGGTTATTCGCATCCAAAGGTAAGTGCAGCTTTCTTAAGCCAAAACAATTGAATCTGTAAGGGATCCTGACACTCATCATATCATGATCCATGCCGACTGGAGATTTGAGGTTTTACCTCTGTTTTTGTATAATTTACGGAGTGGTGGTAATTCAGAAATGCTAATGCTGACCCTGATGCTAGAAAATTCTGGAATTTGTCACCTCGCAGGTTCTAGAGGGGACTCAAGTGAGTACTGAGGGATTATTACACGTCAAATGGTGGCAAGACAGATCCTTTCACATTAGCTCCAGTAACCTCTAACACAGTCTGAAGCTCAAACAGTTTTGGTGTGGGTGTTGTATCTTTATTTTAATCCATATGACCAATGGCAATGTGAAGGTTTAAAGTCAGAAGATACAGCACCCTTGAAACAACTGCAGTGAGGAAGCAGTATTCTATATAGAGTTTGAGCTGATAAGTGTGCTCTTTCAGAAGTTCACCTCTCTTCGGAGTGGAGCTACAGCTATCTGTGATATCTCAATTACTGTAAGTTTCACATCCAATTCTCAAAATCTGTCTCACCTGCTCATGAATGAACAGTTTATATTGTGTTGTATACTTCAAGATGCTAAGTCTGGGCTGAGAAGGTAAGAGATTTGCATATGATGAGCTGAGCCTACTGAGCTGGATAAATGTCATAATCTCAGAACCAATACGATGATCAACAGGATGATTTTGTTTGCCATCAGCAGAGGCGCAGCTACCTGGTAGTGTTCAAATTTAATCTCTTCTTCAAGGCTGATGTTAACTTGGACCTCCCTGTGTCAAGTCTAGCGGCACTGTTGAACATCATTTTAGTATGTGTAACAGCGATTGTTTGAATCAGCATGCTGATTGGATTATCACATGTCTAGTTTATTTCTAAACCTGGAGCATTCACTTTGTGAATTGGAATTTGTATCTCCCACAAATTTCATCTGGGCAATTAGAAAGGAAATTTGGGAAGTTGCTCACAGGTAGGACTTTCAATACAGGTGTTACAAGAGGTTTCAGCTCAAGTTTCTTGCCACTTGTGGCTGATAACAGAGGAGAGATGACTACCAGTTTGGGGTACTGGTAATGACATTTAGCTCCTATAACGACAGGGATGCTTTTATGCAGGAGTGAAGTGTACACTATAAGAATTCATTGTTGGAGCGGGAAGGATTGAAGCTCCAGGGTATAGCGAAGGACTTTTAGAGAGGGCTGAGGGTCTTTCTTGGGGTGATGAGGTTGAATCCGAGCAAACTGGAGGGGTTGCAAATAACTGCTGGAGTAACACACTGCATGCATATTGAGGCAGGGAAGACTGTAATTCATGATACCCTGGGAGGGGTTTTTTCCCCTTTTCCCCTCAATAATCAGGACATGAATGAACATAATCACCCCCCTGTATTAGATATGTGTGTTCCATTATTGTACAACATTTTGTAATATGGTCATTCGGGAATCAGACCTTACCAGTATAATTCGTGTCCTATCCTATCCTATAATCTCAGAAACTAATGACATGGCATGACAGAGATTGATATCTCATGAATTGGTTATCATAAATTTATGAGAATATAATGACTATTGACTGGAGACCGTTTTCCTGATGAACTTAAGGCCGGTCATAACATAAAGTATTGTATTACGGAAAAGTGGAGTTAGGAGCCCCTATGCCACCTGACATTGTCCAAACCATCAAGTAAAAACATGAACATAGCTTATTATCAGAGAATCCATTTGGAATCCTTTCTAGGAAGAAGACTCCTTGTGACAAACTACAGAAACCAGTAAAATACCATGGGCGCCCCATACTGAGTTGAGACTCACAAGCATAAACGAACCAAAAGCTAACATCACCCCAGAGAATATCTGGGCACTCTCAAACCCATTGAACGCAATGAGCCAACCACTAATCGGAGGTCCTAGAAGTGCCCCAAAAGCACTGTACAAATTGAAGTGTCCAACGATGGTAACAAACCTACAAAGTTGGGAAGACTGACCTGACACTCAACATCTGCCCAATACCTATACCTATTTTCCTAGGGTCATCCTAAAAGGTTTATTGAGAGGATGCAATAACAGAAGAAAATAAGGAATGAGTTGGCATACCAACAAAGGAGGAACACAAGCTCCTTGCAAGCTAAGTACATTTCCTGAAGTGAAACCATACAAAGCTATTTGGCATACCAATGGATCGTGTAGGTCCACGGACACGAAGTAAGTCACTCACCTCCGACAACAAGGATGCTAGCTGTGTTTCGAGCAGCTATGCTCACTAATACCAGCAATGCAGAGATAAGCCCAGTAATGATCATCATATTATATCGTCCCCATGAATCTGCCGCCATTCCGGGAAGGATACGGCCAAACTATGATTTGAAAGGAAAAATCAAAAACGTCAGTAAAAGCAATGGCGACTGGATCTCTTACGAATGACGCAGCGTTCAACACGGATACGGAGTAGAATATCATGTTCGCGTCGAAGCCATTGGCACCTCCGTAACTGGGAAGGAAAAAGAGCAGGAAGAATATTCCTGTAAAGGTGTGCTGATAAGCTTTAGTCATGTCACCGATAACGTTCTATACACACCGAGGACGATGAAGAACATAGCGATGCTTCGAAGATTTTAGTCAGCATCATAATCAAATATAAATGAACGTGCTAGTGCTCACCAGAAACTAGCGTACGCAGGCAATCGAAAAAGGCTGAACGCAAAAAACTCAGAGCCAGTCCTTTTCGGCAAGCGTCCTTTGACTAGAAACGCAGCGACCGTGGTTAAGGCAAGCGCAATGAATCCGCATGTACGAAGGGCCCAGCCAAATCCGACCTGCAGTGATTTAGGGTCAGAACTTAGTAGCTCGTGGATTGCTGGAGAGGTCAACTAAACTCAAAGACATACCTCTCCAATAAGACGGTTAATAGCAATAGGCCAAATTACACCACCGACAGAGGATCCGGAAGTGACGATTCCTAAAGCTAGTCCTCGACGTTTGAAAAACCAATGGTTGATACTGTCAAAGAGAGCTCTCAAGCCTGAGATATGTCATGATTGCAAATGCGAGCTCACCTTGCAAAAGACGGTGAGAATAACGCGGAAAGACATAAGCCTTGCAATAGTCCTTGGGCTAAAAAGAATTCCCAAAATTCTTTGCTGAGGGAAACCATAGAGTCGATCGAAGTCTCAGTTCCCTGTCAGTGTTAACGAATCGCACAAGACCCACCCACCATATGCTTTGCATCATACACGATAACGAGAATCCTACACCTCCAATGAAGATAAGGGGCTATAATGATTCGTGAATTGAGGGGGTACAGATAGACATTAATATCACTTACACCGGCCCCGAATTTGTCAAAGATCGAGCCAAAGACGGAACCCATAAAGTATATACTATGGTAGGTGAAATGAAATCGGGGGCGTGAGTGTGTCTTGCCCTGATAAGCACAAGTGGAAGCTCACCAGAACGTTTGGAAGGCGCCAATCCACGCAATATCGCTTTCCGATTTGTGTGAAAGCTGGTTTTGCTTGTAGTAAGCCTGGAAGCTATATGCAAAAAATGACGTGAGATGCATGGACACGAGATAGGGTGGGTAACCTACACTATGGACATGTTGATGAGGGAGTGGACAACGGATAACGAATGTTTCATGAGTACTTGAGAGGCCTCACATCTTGATAGAGAACGTTCTCTCACCCCCAAATGCGTTCAAGAACCCGAACGAAACGAAGACAGCTAGCCAGGCGCCAGTAACGACCTAAAGGAAATGAGACGAGTTCACCAAAACAGACCAAAGGAACGAAGTTCACTCACAGCCCATGCTTCCCTCCCTCCGTCGGGAAAGCTCGGTGGAGTCAGAAGTATAGATTGTCCGGGGTTCGATTCCGGAGTATTGTCGACAGCATTGGAGTCGACGTTTATTTCGGAAGGAGATACTGGAATTGGCTCGAATTTCTTCAAGGTGACTGACTGGTTGGAGGACATGGAGGGAATAAGATGAGAGGAGAAATGAGTGGAGGTGGAGGGAATGAGTAGAGGTGATTAAACCTGTGCGGGGCAGGCACGCTGTAAGTAATGGGACTGATGGAATAGAAGCCTGCGTGGTAAAGCTGTAGATGCGAACTAGCCGGTTCAGCTCGGACCAGTATTGTTCAAATGTGATCGATCATCGAAGAGACGGTCTGAAATCAAAGAGCGGTTCGAACATTACCAAACCTCACTTGATGTATCAATGACTCATGATCGAACTTTGAATCCAACCATTGTTACATCTTTGAACTTGTTGAACTGGGAAAGGGCCTCATGCTGAGGCTGAGGCACTGACCTTGCCCGGATCCACAATCCCATTTGAAGTGCACCATAATCTCCCTATGTTCTAACGTTGACCTTCCAAGCACCAAGATGGAAACTTACGCTGAACCCTTGAGCAAAGCTACAACTTTGGCCACGCTGTCTGAACTGCTCGATTCTATTGAGAAGTCGAGTAGTGTGCTTCGTGAATCGCTCCAGAATCAACTCGCTGCTGGGACTAATGACAGTACTTACTCCGAGAGTACTGCTACAGCTCTCAACCTTCGATTCCATGCCGACGCGCATGTCGCCCTTCATGCGTCGAAATTGCGACTTGCATGCGAACGTTTAGCACATCTTGCAACACCACCTCGCCATCTTGTATTCGAAGCAGCCGGATCAGTGAGTATATCATCGCTGTTTCCATGAACTTACCTACTAGTGTGTTAGTTTTACCTTACTACGGCTCTCGACATCATAGTGAAGTCGGATATTGCTACGATCATTGAAAAAATTTCCAACAAAGCTGGATCCGCAGGAGTACCAGTGGACTTTCTAGCGCAGGAAAGCAAGTTGGACGCGGATTTGCTAAGTATATGTCATCCTTACGCTACGAAAACGTCAATAAGATCTCATTCTACAACTTTATAGCGCGCTTGATGCGTCACTTGGCCGTTGCAGGAATATTTGAGGAAGTCACCCTCAACACGTTCGCAAATACGACTCCTAGCTCGACGCTGATTAACAACCCCGAGTTCAGAGCACACCTTGATCTTGTGTGCGTTGATCAATACTTTGAATGCATTTCTTGGCCCTCATCACCTTTTTACATTTTCCCCAGTATGCACGAAGGCCGGGCTGCGATCCCTTTCTTCCCGGAACTAGTCTCAAAGCGTTTCTCGGAACCTGTGCCTCCACCATCTGCCTTTTCCCTTTACTCGGATGGGCAGCTGTTCTATGACTGGCTCCATTCGCCTGCGCAAGCTGATCGGTTATCAAACTTCAATATCGCAATGCGTGGTATGGCTCATACCGAAGGACTTGGATTTCTGTCTGACGGTATGCATATCTCGCAAGATTCTCTTACTGTCTGACCATGTTCGAGCTGACGTCGATCTGTCAATCAGACTATCCATTTCACCGCCTCCCAACTGACAGACTCATCGTCGATATCGGAGGTGGAATCGGCTCCTTACCCACCATCCTCCTTCCGGCCCTTCCTAACCATAGGTTCGTCGTTCAGGATCTCGCACCTGTTGTGAGTCAGGCTACAGAAGGTGCAAGTCCGGTTATGAAACGTTGGATGGATCAAGGCAAAGTTCGCTTCTCCTTTCAGGATTGCTTTACGCCTCAACCTCCCGAGTTTAGGGGTGCGGTGTTTATTCTCAAAAATATGATGTAGGTACAGGTAACTTAAAGTTCACTCGCCACTGATTTTCTCTCTGATAAATGTGAAGACACAACTATCCGGATCCCAAGGCCCTGGACATCCTTCGTAACTTACGAAATACAAATCCACACAGGCTCCTCGTGATCGACCGCCTTGTGATCCCCCAGCTCAAAGTGACCGATTCGCAAGCCCGTGGGTTGCTTGCGGATGTTGCATGTTCACAACGTGCAGCAACATTTTACGATCTTGTTATGGCGTCTTTGCATGGCGGAAAGAATCGGACTCTCGAGGACTGGCGAAAGCTCCTTGCACGAGGTGGCTTCCACTTAGAAAGGATCTATCCCTTGCGGGCATCAACAGGTCAAGCTGTAATTGAAGCAACCTGTAACTAATCTCACTTCCCGTCTGTCTCAAAGTACTAGACAGTATATATATCAATTTTTTCCTCCTCTGCTGGCCACAGAAATATCTACCATTTTCCAATATTATGGGGCTGTAGTTTATGAATGACTGTATATATGGTACTCATTCGTATCAATTAGGGTGCGATGAAAATATCAAGGAGATGTCAATGGTTGTTCACGTATGTTTAGGCCGATGTTACGAGTCCGAAATGTAATGAAGGATTCGTCTTATAGTGGGTTCCAGCGTGGGAATTCTTCCTTTTATATTTTTGACCTTCCTTATATATTTTTGACCTTCCTCTTTCAGCGATTTTTTTTTCCCCATACTTGGACTGTCACGCTTCGCGCCACTCGTCACCTTTTCGTCACTCTGCGTTACCTACGGCGCCCCCACCTCCAACATTGTCTGCGCCCTACATCTTGCCGCGAATTCTTGGCTGCACTACATCCCCCTCTCGTCCTACTTCTCCGGCATTCTTCTGCAAAAGCCTCTGCCACAGCTCATCAACAAAAGTCTTGAAAACAACGACCAAATCAGGATGGCCAATTCGCCACATCTTCTGGGGTATTCGAGGATGGGAATGGAGCTGACCAAGGGGGAGGTGGGTTGGAGAGAACAGTCTGATTTTGGGACGGGGTTCGAAGGGGAGAGAGGTGCGTTCCTCTTCTTGTCCACGCGCGCCGGGGCTGCAGCTGAAGATGGGAACGACAGGTATATTGCTCGGTCTTTGGCACCACAACGAAGTACTCGACCGCTCACCAGCCTATCTCTCATCGCCAATATTTTCTCCAACTTCGTCCACATTCTCCTTTGCCACCTGTGGTACACAACCTCTGCGCTATCTTCTAGCACCATAAACACCATTTTCAGCGTATTTCGCTATCCCATCACCCGCATTCTTCGTACTGTTCTCGCATGGTCGGCCCACTTTTTGTTCCCAAATGCTGGTGCTTTACTTATCTCTGTATCTACCCCATGTTTACCCCGCTACGTACTGCATCTATTTACTCTGCGCAATTCAATAACTTTTGCACTCCTGGCCATTACTTTCCTCGCGTTTGCATGGTGTTTGTTTTGCCACCTGGCTTGCTGCATCCACTGGTGCCCATGTTGGGCTGGGAACTGTCGCCCCTCTCGAGCGCTTTCCTCCTCATCCGTCACCCTCAATATGAGGTACACGATGGGATGCGAGATGGAGGGAATATGGTTTTGGAGGCCAACACAATCACTCACATAGATTTACTCTGTTGCAGAGATTACACAGCATCTGCACTTATTTATATGCAACTCTGATTTTCGGACTCGTTCTTGCCACGCGCGCAGCGCGATGGCCCACTTTCGCACGTGAATGATAATGTGATTCACAAGCTTGAGAATTATTCACGGCACCCTAGCATCAATGTTGTTGCGACCGGCACAGGATACCAGAGGATACCGTGGGGTGCTGTGACTTTCTCTCACCATTTTTTGAGTCTCGCTTTGGCGGCTTTGCCTTCTTACAGTAAATTATACTCTCTATCTAAGTGCTAAGACTTATAGTCTGAAAGGTGCCCCATGACTGGGATGACCTCCCACAGTGCAGTTCAGAATTTCATGTTTTTAGCTGCTGAGTTTTTGCCCATACATATGCATGTTCATTCATAGGTAGATTCTTCCCATTGAAGCATCATACGTGATAGAATGAGTCAACTGTAAGTCCTTTGATATAATGTGCTAATTGGGTTTGACAGGTGAAATTTAGTCTTGTTCAGGCTTGCCACTTGCGCTTCTACCCAACCCTCAAACCAGCTCGAACCCTACTTGAATCAGACTATAGGGTCCCACCAGGGTCCCACAAGGGAACAGTTTAGCAGCGCATCATCTGCCGAACACCACCTTAGTACCGCCATGAAAAACCTCGTGTGATCCGTTCCCGGTCTTCCCACACTCAAGGAACATCAAACTATTCCGTCTGTTCCGTTTCTTGTGGCAGTCAAATGTACCAATGCAGCATTGTATCTACAGAACTTGATGGCAATCCCTGATACATTTTGTCGCAGTCAAAACTCTACCACATTTAAAGCTCTGTTCTACATAACATCTCTGTAATTGTTGAAGGTTTCGTTCTCCCCTCAATAACTTCACACTTTCCTCCAAGAATCAGGACCTGGACACTACAATGTCTGATCCAGCTTGTACTCCATTGCCAGTCCCAGACCTCAATAGTACATATGGAGCTATGCTGATTGGGGGTGAGTGACCACAGCTTTCTACCGCTTGAGTATTTTGCTAACACATTTTCAGTGCTCTTTGCTACATTGTAAGATTGTTCATCATAGTTCATCTTAAGGAAATTTTGTTGATATTGGAGGACCCAATTTCAACCAGCTTGCAGGGTCTTCTAACACTGCAAGCAATCATCTATTATGGTTCTTATCCCCAGGACCCCATATCGACAAAGCTGATCGTGAGTAACACATATTTCCCCCAGTGCTCATAATAAGAAAAATTCCATCCCTCCTTCTGACTCAAATTGAGCATCTAGGTTGCTACAGCTTGGTATGTCATGGGGGTCCTCTCATCTAGATTTTGGTCACTCGCTGACTGACAACAGGTGTCTCGATACTTTTCATCTGGTCCTCATTGCACAATCGGTATATCACTACTTGGTCAACAATTGGGGCTCTTTTCCTGCGTTAATGATCTCAACCTGGGAGCTCGACCTGAACCTCACATTGATTGGGCTGTCTAGCTTTGTATGCCAGGTTTTCTTCTTGAATAGGTTGGTAGCCATATATGAATTACCACTCAAAGCAATCAACTAATCATTTTGCTGTTTAGAATATGGATATTCAGTAAGAAAAACATTCCTCTCATCGGATTCTTGACAACACTGTGTGTCACTACACTTGCACTCGATATTGTGGTCACAGTACAGATAACCCAGAATCGCTCCGTTCTTGAATTCGGGAGAAGGAAGGGGGAAATTATTGCTGTATTTACTTCTGGTGCAATAGGTAAGGTGTTTTCCAATCATCTCATACATACAGGTTACTCATCCTTCTCATTGGAGCCGATGTTGTATTGGCGTCACTGCTATGCTATTATATCCGACGCAACAGGAGTGGTTTCGAGAAGTGAGTTTTGTCGATATGTGGCGCCTTTCAATCTCATGGCCTTAATAATGGTACAACTCTATAGGACTGACTCGCTTGTTACTTCCATTGTCAAGTATACAATCACAACGGGCCTTGTAACAAGGTATGTCTCACTCTATAAATGCTGAGAATGTTGCATGTTGCACACCTCCTGCTAACTAACATGTATTTTAGCTTGTTGGGAATATTTACGCTCATCGCGGTTCGTTATCCACCGACCTAACTCTGATGTATCTTGACGTTGAACGGAATATAGTACTTTGCATCCCCCAATGGCTTTATATTTATTGTATGTGTATCCATCCACTTGATGAGGGCTTAAGCTCACTACCACCTAGGCTATGCATTTTTCCCTGGGACGCATGTACACCAATGCACTTCTTGCCACGTCAGAATTCTTCTTTGTGGTCGACACAGATTAATGACTGATGATCCCGGCTTCCAGACTGAACTCTCGCAAAAGGTTACGCGCTGCACTCAGAGGAACAAGCACCAAGGTACCATCGAGGTCAAGGCAGGACAAAGCTCAAAATAGCACTATGTCAATTCCTTTGTCAACTTTTGAAGTGAGTATTACATGTTCTTGGGGTGAGACAAACAATTGAACCTCTCAAACAGATACCAACAACTCAGGGGCCCCAAATCCAAGTTCATAAATCTACAGAAGTCATACAGTCAGGTTATTCTTACAACTTCAGGGATTACTCGGAAGAACAAGACGAAAATGGCATTAGCAAGGCTCCTCAAGTGGGTGATGTCTGAGTATGTACTTAAATTTGAATGAGCTATTATGTATTTTTTCTGAAATTTGATTTGAATATTCCACTGGTTCATTACAATAGTTCACCAGATAAGCTTATCGAGGCTTCTCGAAGTTATCTTATATGAGCAACTAGTATATTACATGTACTGGAGCAATGTCTGCACTGAAACAGCGCTCAAAGGCTCTGTTGCAGGTTCACACAAGCACAGCTGACAATGTAGTCTTTGAATCTTCAATGCAAGCATTATTCGATTTCACTTGCAGCTTCTTCGGAACCCATGAGCCAATATCCGTTATAATTATGGCACTAAGTAGGTTATACCTATCTATATTGCATGTAAATATCTGTAGCACATCGCAAACTCAAACATTATTTACCAGATGATGAACTTATTTCTAGTAACTCAAACATCAGCCTTAAACGGAACAGGTAGAACACATGGAACAATAGTCTTGACCAAAACAGACAAAACCTCACATTCGCACTTTTTTTGAAGATTTAGAAGTCTTTAGGTAAGTTCAGTTCACAGTTCATCAACAATGCAACAAGAAAAACTAAATTGTGATGAACTTTTGAGCTCTACCATCAAGTCCATCTTTTCTGTCAAGCTCACATCTGTCTATCTGTTACTTGTTCCATCGATCGTGTCCATCTGTTGCATCTGTTGCCCTTTATCCATCTGATGGAACATCTGTTCGGTCCTTCCCCATCTGTTCATCTGTTGGAACATCTGTTCCACCATCTTTTATGTGTAAAAGTATCCCATTGCAGTGCAGCTGCATTGCATAGCATGGGTTATATCACATCTATAACAAAGGTCATATATCCTCGACATATAATTGGTCAGATATTCTGATCCGCTGAGGACTTGTGGAAACGATTGGCGCTCTTTCATTTCTCACTGCATGAGTGTGTTGCTGTGCACAGCAAGCCGAGGACTTTCACATATCAGGACGTGAATAGTGACAGTATCAGGAATGAAAACCCAACATGAGGTTGAACTGATTTCTCTCAGTTAATATTTAGCTCTTGTCAAATGATTTCCATCTTCTCTAGTTATCTTAGTTTTCATCTGATCAAGAGGCTTCAAGAATAAACTGGTTAATCATCAGTAATGAAGTAATTATATTCTGAATTGATCTTTTTCAGAAAACAATAAGCAGAGCAAAGGCCGCTGCAAAACCTATATGTTCACCAGAGCAAGGGTACCGGCTGGAGAGTGCTCTCCAGCGCGCAAAGCACCGAGAGCAAAAATTTCAACTTGCTCTGGGTGCTTTGGCTGCTCGGAAGCACTCTCAGCTGCTCTCAGAGAAAGCCAAGAAACAGGTTTTGCAGATGAAAGTCATCTTCCTTGCAAAGTCTATTTCTACCCTGAAATTGGACATATTTGGGATGCAGGCACACTTTGTGTTCTGAATCTTCCACAGCATTCTTCTGGCGTGTGAGGCCCTGTACCCACTCGCAGCGTGCCCTGTGTGCGTCGCGGTTTAAATCTACAATGTACCAAGCAAGGTGTGGTCCACGACAGTGGAGCCTAGTTGGATATTTTAGACACTAATATGACATGGAAGATGTTGGTGTTGATGTTGTAGATCTATCTGAACTCGGCCACTGTGATCGATGTATGTCTCTATTGGTACCAAAATTTCCGGTGAGGAGCCGTAAAGAGGTTCGGCAATAAGTCATATGCAATCTTTATGATTTCTTACCGCAATCTTGATTTGATGCCATTGTTTGTTGATGGTTCTGGGATTCGAGATCCCACAATTCATAGTTATCCTTTAAAGCCACCAACTGCTCAACTACTTTTTGCTTCGAGGATTATGTCTTCTACTATTCCTACCAAGACTACTGTCCTCGTTATCGGTGGCGGACCTGCGGGTTCCTATGCTGCTAGTGTTCTTTCCCGCCGCCAAATTGACGTCGTCGTCCTCGAAGCCGCTAAATTCCCCCGTTACCACATCGGCGAATCCTTACTAGCCTCTACAAACTATTTCCTCGAGTATATCGGTGCTCGTGAGAAGGTCCTTACTCACGGGTTCATACGAAAACCCGGTGGTGCGTTCAAACTCCGTAAGGACTTCCCGGCAGCCTATACAAATTTTGTGTGTCCATTACCTTACTATTGGAAATAGTTTTCTTACTGTTGCTAATGTTAGGTTGACCACAATACTGGGAATCATGCCCTCAATGTTGTCAGTGTTTCAATTCATTTTTACATTGCTGTTCATAAAATGAATCCTTCATCAGAATCGTGCCGAATACGACGACCTTCTGTTCCGTCATGCAGGCGAGCAGGGGGCCAAAATCTTTGATGAACACAAAGTCACGCAGCTGTATTTTTCGGAGCAAGATGCTACTCGTCCTATCTCAGCCACATGGGAATCCAAGGTCAACGGGGCTAAGGGAATAATCGAGTTCGACTACCTTATCGACGCTGCAGGCCGTCAAGGATTTCTTTCAACCAAATACCACAAGGATCGGGAATTCACGAAGAGTTTGAAGGTAAATTCGAATGGCTTCAAATTTTATGCAATACTGATTTTGTGTTTTGCAGAATTCCGCTATCTGGGCGTATTGGAAGGGTAGTAAAATGTACGGCGAAGGAACTGAGCGACTGGGAGCACCTTTCATTGAAGCTCTGCATGGTACGTATGTTGTCCTTCAAGAGCAGGCCTACAACCTGATTTCTGATAGATAACACCGGCTGGTGTTGGTATATCCCTATAAACGACAATACTATATCGATAGGCTTTGTTATACACGAAGAATACATCAAGGAAAAGAAAGCCGGCAAGACTCTAGAGGAGTTCTACATGTCACAGTTTGATCTTCTCACCGACGCTCCACAATATAGAGGTGAAGGAACGATGGTGCCCAACAAAGAGGGCAAAGGTGGTCCCGTTTACATGGCGAGCGACTACAGCTATACTGCCGAAGACATTGGCCGCATTAATTACAGAGTGGTCGGCGATTCAGCAGCCTTCATCGACCCCTTTTTCTCTTCAGGCGTTCACCTTGCCTTTGTCGGCAGTCTCGCTGCTGCAATTAGTATTATAGCTGTGATTGACGGGAAAGCCGATGAGGAGTCTGCGGCCGCCTTCCACACCGCTGAGCTTAAGGTAGCATATACCAGGTTCGCTTTCCTTTAATCAACGAAGTGTTGTTCTGAATGATGTCATTGAAGATTTTTCATGGTTGTTATGGCTGGTTACAAGCAGATGCGAGGCGGCCTCAAGGCTGACGTCTTGAATGACCTCAACGAGAAGACCTTTGATAGGGCCTTCGATATCATCCGACCTGTCATCCAGGGAACAGCAGATATTGGTGTTGACAATTCGAGTACAGGCACCGTGGAAATGAGTGAGAAAGAGGTCCGAAACACGATGGATTTCGTCTTCCGACTGTTCTCCCATCCTTCTCCTGGAGCAAAGGTTATAGAGCACGAGGACGATGGACTTCATGGAAACGTGGATGACTTAGATAGGGATGCTCGGGCCCGACTGAAGACGTTCTCCCAGTATGTGCCTCACATTATGGGTCATGACGGGGTCATGCACATATTGGAAGCAGCACAAGAGAAAATGAGGCTTTCAGTGAATGGTAGTACTGCCACCAAACTGAAGCCTGTGGCTATCAATGCCTGATAAACCTCTTTGTCGTGTAACATGTGGAACATCCAGGATTTACAGCGCAATTTTCATGCATTGAAGGACTTGAGGAATTTATCTGTACTCAAATTCTTTGAAATGCACTCATTTTACTGTCTATCATCCAAGATGGAGATTTTTGGTGCTGCCATGATTGAGGAATGAGAAAATTGTTCTCATTATTCTTCAATGAGCCAGTTTAAGGTCAAGCCACTGTTTCCATTTTGTTTGCAAAGCTTGAAAACCGCCAATGACAATGCTTGACCTGGAACTATGGCTGCTACGTATGCATATGCTGGCTGTAACATTCGGAGCGAAATATCACGCGGTTCACACTACTGCATGTGGACGATAGATAAGGGTGACTTTTGGATCTCCGCCTCAGAGAGGAAGGGCCTTGTAGGTCTTTGATTTCAAACTCCACTAAGACCTTATGAAAGTGACTTTGGGGCATACTGTAGCACCATCGAGAGGTGATCAGCAAATGTGATAAATGTCAAATTAGAGTCTTTTTGGCCATTCTACACCCAGCATATCTGGATTCATTTTGAGAGAAGAAAACCTTCAGCCTCTAGCAAGTTTGGGAACTGGGTGATAATGCCTATGAAATATAGAACTCTGATTCATATATACAGGAACCAGAAGATGCAACAACAGAATGTTGCTGTGTTCAATTTTTGACAAGCTAGGTAAGTTATGAGGCTGAATATACGGGGCACAGAACTTCTGCCATAACCCCTGCAGCACCAGTCCCACGCAGGGCCGCACAGTTCCATGCAGTTCCGAACAATCTCCTGCAGTTCCGTGCTATCTGTAAAATGAAATATTGTGCCTAAATAGTCATATTGCTCTTCAAGCTGAGCTTCAGACAAATGAAGCTCCATGGGTCTAATTTGATTTCCTTGTCCTGAATTTTTTTCTAATAGTTAAGTATGTTTATCACCAAATCACTAAATAGACCATCTATTCTGGTGTCTTACTAACAATGATTCAAGAAATGAGAGCAAAGACATGAATAAGCAAGCAGTTTTTAAACCTTATCTGGTTTGTAATCTCTGGTTTGTAATCTTCAGATGTGAGTAATTAATATTTGTGAAATATTCGATCTAGTCATTGCCATTACTGCTATGCACCTGGATAGCCAATCACATTTAATGGGATTCTATTGTTCCGGTTGTTAGTAAAAGTTGACTGCAGAAGTTAGATGCAGGACACATGCAATCATTGTTTCTCAAAGACCAGATTGTGTACATAGCCAACCCCCCACAGCCTGGTCCCTTATCCTGACCTCTCTGTCATTGTCTTGGGACCAGGTATGTGCTTACTTATTATCACTATTATACTATGATACTCAATATAACTCTGTCCTTAGCTTGCCTACACTCCACTTAGTCACTCTGCCTTGTCATTTTGCTTAGTTGCTCTGTCTCACTACTCTACTTAGTCACTCCATCTTTGCCTCTTCATAACACTGCCTGTTTGATTTTAAGCTCAAATCTCAATATCTGTTGAATTGTTATATGCTTTTTTACTACATGTTAAGTTCAGATATTAGTCCTTAGTGAAGTACACAAGTCAGGAACAGAGTCTCCTGATCAATATATGATACCCCTACCCATGGAATGAATTATGTGTATAGCACCTGCATGAAAATGGCCTAGCATACAGTAAATGTACTGGGTGATATTCTTGGAGGCTTGTACATTCACCATTGCTCAGCACACACTTGTCTGTAGACATTGTAGCTGCATGCCTCTGCATTGTAAATGTATACATATGCTGCAACTGGATGTGTCATTATACTTACTTAAATTGTTGCTGCATTGTTACTAAACTTATCTCCATAATTTGTACAATTGTTGGAAATGCATGGCAAAAACTCGGCTCCTTTCTTGGGGATTATTAAATATTATGGAATCAAATAAAACGGGGCACCTTTCAGGTGCCAACATTGAATGTTTTTTAAGAACAAAATAAAAGCAAATTTACAAGAACTACAGTATCTATGGAGTAACAACTGAGTGAGTCACTGAGATGAGAAAAAAATAATTGTGACAGAGTTACAGTCCCATGATATCCCGTGCTGGTTACAAGAAATCAATACAATTCAACTCAGTGTTACATTTGGCCAAATAAGGAGAAACTACAACCATAAAAGGAAATTAAAATTGTATGAAGTGGTGTATATAAGGACAATACTTCCATAAAATACAGCCTCGTAATCTGTGAAGTTGATCATAGAGACCATCAAGAAGCCATTGAACCTGGTCATCTAGTTCAATACAATTGCAAGGATCTACAAGCTACTACTCAATGATGTTGTAAAGCCCTGCATTGAGTGGAAATATTAAGACATGCTACAATTGAACCAAAAAACCACAATACCAGATCTGTCTGGTATACTCTTCAGCACTATATGATCCACTCCATGACATGCTGCCCTCACTTCATGTTGATTGAACAGGGGCTAGAAATTTTACATTGCATGTTGCTCAATGTAGATTACATGGCTGCAATCTATGGAAGATTTGTCCTTACGGATTACTTGCCATCTGTTAGAGTAAGTTAAGGGACTGTGCATTAGCACGGGAGATATATATGCGAAATATACTATTTGGCTCACCTCAGTATGCCACAACGTGTGATCTACTACACGATTGAGGACCACTGCACAGTTGTGCGCAAAGAGGTCTCTCCACTTAGACTGTTGAATCAAACAATAGGCTAGAATATTTTATTTTACCTACATGTCATTACATTACTGTTATCCAATCTCTGGTTGAAAATTTCAATGAAATACATTGACATCATATATAGCAAAGGTTCATAGAACAAACAATCAAGATACCTATGATTTGCATGCCCCTTGAAAATGCATTTCTGTCAGGTTACACAGTTCTTGAACAGTCCTCCCCTTCCTCCACTCAGGCCATGGACAAGTGCAATGTCGTTGGGAATATATTCCATCACGCAACAGAAGCCACATAATTGAGTCGACCCCTACATCCTCAATCAGGTCATCCACCTTGATGCTGTACTCAGGCACATTTAACTCCTGTGAGAGGATCTGTGTGACAGACAAAACGTCCGGAGGATTGATTGCAGACATGACAGTTTGGTGCTGCGCAATCGGTAAATCTGGTTCCAGGTAAGTCGGGGAGGAATGTGGTGTTAGCTGTTTCTGGCTACTTGCTATATTTTCTGAGCGGGTATGCGGAGATAATCGATCTGAGTACACAATCCAATGCTCCTTGCGGGTGAAAGGATAAGATGGTAGAGATACCAATTGAACCGGATATGAGTCATGGTAATTTGCCCACTTTATGGGAATGTGAGCTTCATATAGCCGTGCAAGAGACTTGGTGATGGAGTTCCAACAATTAGATGTTGGTCCACCAAGAGTTGGAAGTAACATGGTCTTTGTTGGGACAAATGGTCGCAAAAATGGAAGGAGGATAGCCTTGGCACTCAACTCTATCCAAATATCTATGTTCTGTGCAAGAGGATGGGTTACACACAGATCAAATCGTACAGTACTAACCATCTGTTGGGAAAGATACCTAGAAGATAGAGTGGCCCCTTTTTCAAGCAAGGTACCATTCACGTTTAGAAGGATAGGCACTTCTGCTTCCCTGAATGGAATTAAATTTGTCACTTTTTGTAAGGCATTTGCTGATTCAATCAGATGCGCTGAATGCCAGGCAATAGATCCAGGAAGCCTGTTCACCAAGGGCGGGGCGGGTAAGGCTCTGATGAAATCTTGCAGCCTCTGGAGTTCTGAACTGGTACCTGCCACAACTGTCTGAAAAGTCCCGTTAATGCAAGCAATGTCAATGCCGCTGCAACCGCTGAGGGCAATCATTTCTCTGGCATCATTGGCAGAAATTCCAACAGCGAGCATACCACCATCCTCCGAATGAGTGGAAGTCTCCGCGGCATGTACTTTTGCAACAAGGACCTTCATAGAATCGGCAAGTGAAATACAGCCAGATAAGGCCAGAGCCACGTACTCGCCTAGGCTGTGCCCAAGGAGTAAACTAGGCTCGAGACCCCAATGTCTCCACATCATACCTACGGCATATCCTACCGAAAAAATTCCGATGGCACCGGCTAACTTTGAGATGGAGTTGTTCAGCAGGGGATCTATGCAACCATTTATCAGCCCAGTGAGGCCCCCGACACCAGCCTCCATAGCAGCAATGTCACACGCATCTATGTAAGACTTGAATACGGGCGAAGTGTTGTAAAGATCTTTCCCCATTCCTTGGAATTGGGACCCATTTCCCCCAATTACAAATCCGACTTTTGGAGCAGAATTTCTACGGGGGAGAATTATTGGAGAGGGATAAGTTTGGAGTTGACCTTTCAGGTCTTTGATACTCGTCACACTGAATGCGATACGAGATGTATAGTCTTGTCTACGAGCAGTGGTGGTATAACTCAATGATGATAGAGAGATTGGACCAGCAGTTTCAATATATTGGAGAAGTTGACCAATGACTATTGTAAATGGTGTATGTGGCTTGGCTGATAGTACAATGATATGGGAGGAGCGAGGATCACTGGTTGACTGGTCTATAGAATCCATTGGTGGAAGCATTTCTTGAAGGATGATGCCAGAATTTCCACCTGTGGGTTTGTTGTCATAAAAACGATGTAACAAAATCAAGAAGATTCACAAACCATGAGCTCCGAAGTTGTGAACTGCTGTGAAGATGTGCTTTTCGCCTGCAACTGGTTTTAAAGGCAGGAGAGAAGTAGGAATCATTATTCCTGATATCTCCAGATCACCAAGACGAGGGCTCAGGCGAGTGGTGATACCAATATGGGGTACAACCTGCCTATACTTCATCATGAGAACACTCTTAATCAAACTAGCCATTCCTGCTGCGCTTTCTGAATGGCCAACATTTGGTTTGAGAGATCCGACGAAAAGCTGTGAATCTGATTGAGATTTTCTACCTTGACAGTAAGTTGCTTTGATAGCTTCCATTTCGGCATAATCACCGACGAAAGTTCCTGTGCCATGTGCTTCAACAACTCGAACTGCTAGCGGCGATATACCAGCACGTTCACAATTGGAAGTAAACAACATTGCCTGAGTTGCTGAGTGAGGCATAGTCAATGACTCCGAAGGTCCCGACTGATTAATTCCTGATGCAACAATGACTGCATCTATTTTGTCATTGTCACGTAAAGCGTCCTCAAATCTCTGATTTAAAATGAGATGATGGAAGTCTATAGATGCAATGGACAGTCACCTTCAGTACTACTACCCCGACACCCTCTGCTCGACAATACCCATCTGCACTTTCATCGAAAGTCCTACAACCTCCTGTGTTAGAGATAAAAAATCCTTTACTGAGACCAAGAAACATCTCTGGAGATGTCAACATGTTAGCTGCTCCAGCTACTGCAGCATCGGACTCGTGTAGGAGGAGAGATTGACAAGCAGAGTGAACTGCGACCAGTGAGGATGAACAAGCAGTGTCATAGACAACAGAAGGTCCCTGCCAGCCAAAGTAGTGGCTAATGCGACCACCAGCAAACCCGCGAATGGTTCCAGGACAAAAAAAAGCATCAATCGGCTGGCTGGCAAGATTACTGCAAAGGATGAGGCAGGGATGAGTACCGATCTCCGAAACTGGGAATGAAACTCACTTCTGATAGCTATCAGTGGCGCTGCCGATGAATACCCCCATTTTCGATTTGTTCCATCCACGTTCGCCCCCGTCTCTGGATTCTTTGTATCCTGCATCATCCAGGGCGTCAACGACTGTCTCAAGAAGAATTCGGTGCTGAGGCTGCAAAAAAGAGTCTGGGTACTTTGCACATTTAATCCAACTATTACACAAACATCACTGTTCATGGCTTCACGAGGAGATAAGTTGAAGAACGCTTCGTCAAACAAGGTGCCTTCTTGGAGGAAATGCCCTTTTCGAGCTACCATTTTATTGGGTACTCCAGGTCGGTCCGACCAGTAATCTTCGATTTTGAACCGTGACGACGGGACCTATTATTTGTAAGTTCAAGATATATGATTCAGAATGAGAAGATCGAGATACGTCTTCCATAGTGTTTTTTCCACTCAGAAGAAGTTGCCAAAATTCTTCAGGACTATGGGCGCCTCCCGGAAAACGACAAGCCATGCCGACTATGGCAATTTTACCATGAATGGAGGCCATATAAGCAGCTATAATCTGGATGTAGGAAGAGAACAGTGGGGGTGTACAGATGTTCTGCAGCTGCAGCATGGAATCAGTGCTTCCAGATATTCTTTTATACTTTATCTATTCATCCACGAATGGAACCTATTTTGTCTCCAAGTTCCCGGTTTCGGAGTACTACTGAAGGTCAGCCAGTTTGTGGAAATTGATGTGTCCCGGTTATGCCCTAGATGGGATCGGGGTGATTCTCAAGCATACATCTGTATTCATCTCGAATGGAGTCATGTGTCAATCAATCAATCAATCAGTCAGATATGAAGGTTCATCAAAAACATATAGACACAGATATCCCGGGATATACCTCGTTCCCAGCAACCTCATCAGCTGTATGGAGAATACAAGGTCTCACACTGGATGACTTACTGTAAACTTTGGCCGATTGATCTGACTCCTGTGAACAATGTTTGAGCCGGTCTGAGATGGAGAGTGTGAGAATTCCTAGGCCTTCAGGCCGCTGAACTTCATTCACTAAGCATCGAAATCTCTTTGTTGTGCTTCTGCTCCGTGAACACCTGTCCATCTCTGACTTCGAATTCCATCTATGTGATAGGGCCCAGAGCTTTTTTCGTAACACCAGTTCCGCGCAGCTCTATGTGACCTAAAAAGATGTAAGACTGTACACATGATCTTCTGATAGTTGTATGCCAATTATATTGCTCCTCACATCGCCAGGTTCAGAGTTTCCCCTATGGTGAAATGCATTGGGAAACTTTGAACCCTGAGAAATTCAACTTGATATCTCAATTGTGAGTTTTCATATAATAATGACAAAATGCTCACTGTCATCACCAGGTGGGCTACATCTGTGGGATCTGTATTTTTGGCTAAGGGTCCAAAAGCAGTTGAGAGCACTTCCCAGCAGTGAAAGCACTCAAAGCATACTGCATCTGCAAAACATGGATATTCAGCTAAGGGCTGAGAGCAGATCCCAGCAGATCCCAGTACCAAAAGGCTGAGAGCAGGCTGCTCTGAGTGCTTTCACTGTTGGGAAATGCTCTCAACTGTGTTTGGACCCTTAGCTGAAAATACAGGTTTTGCAGATGTGCTTTCAATGCTTTCAGCACTGGGATCTACTGGGATCTGCTCTCAGTGCTTAGCCGAATATCCAGGTTTTGCAGATGTAGGTTGTCTTACCTCAATATCCAAGTGGTGTCATGGGTAGGCGAGCCTGTGTCATGTGTGAGGACTACAGTGAATTGAACGATGATGACAATGAGATTACCATGAGAACCTGTCTGTACCCATTCTGTACTATCAGAGACCGCACCTTGTAGTGGTGTCTAATGTACTTGAACTATGTGTGCATAGGGTGCGCCGCAAGTAGATACAGCATCTATTATCAATTAATAAGTGAATAGCCCAACAGGGATGTATGACTAAAATGACATGATTGCTACATACATATTTACTGCCGGGCTATCAGCATTTGCCGGAACTATGCACGAACTTGCACGGATCACTTACCTAGCAAAGTAGTCAACTTCAGTAAATACTTTTGAAAGAGTTTATTGATGATCAACTGCATTGTAACAAATTATTGAGGCCACATCCTAGTCAATATCATGAATTATATGCACCCTAGAAGCATTGTATTCACCTACTTTACCCTTACAATCTTACGTTTATAATGAGCAGGCTATTTTGCTTAGTCGCAATAATGGGAGAACAGTAATTGTTTAGGTATGTTGAGGTAGTCTTTACAACCTTTTAGTTATTCATTGATTGTTTGATCCTCAGTGATTATATATGATAGGCAACAACTATGGGCCTTGACAACAGTATGTGACATGAAAGGATCTCTTAATTCAGACTACTGAATCAAACAGTGCACTCATGATTTTATTGCAACACACATATACAAACATTCAAACACTGTGTATGCACCTCTAAATTTAAAGAATCTACATTTACATGTGGCATAATTCCAGCAATTAGTTGTAGTTGTTGCTGAATAGATAGTGTTCTATACAAATATTGTTCTATGGAATGTAAGGAACTATGTCTCAATGAATGAATGTGTTGTAAGTAGTAACTTTTGAAGTTTGAACCTACCTACTTGAATCAGTTAGAAAGTGGACAAATAATTTTATTGTCATGTATATAGTACTGAGTGCACAAGATGTAGGTAATTGTTACAAATGTATAAATGTATATACAAACATTGAACTGTGTATAAACTAAACTTTAGAAATTCATAATTAAATCTAGCATAATCTCATTAATTTGATGGTGGTGAATAATTGGAATAAAAAAATATTGTATGGTGGAGTGAACCACTTATGCTCAATATGAATAACTGATATATAAGTAGCAACCTTTAAAGCACCTTCAACATCTGCAAAACCTGGATGTTTTCCAGAGCAAGGATACTGGTTGGAGAGCACTGTCCAGCACTGAAAGCTCTCCTAAAATGTTGATCAACTGGGGAGAGCACTCTTCCCAGGTTCTTAGAGGTCAAGTATCTATACGTAGAGTGATATGAAGGACAAGGAAGTGGAGTGAGGGAGGTGAGAGGAAGGTGAGAGGGAGGTGGGAAAGGGGTTGAAAGACCTTGAGAGGACATTTAGTTTTGCCTAGGGTGGATATTTGCTTGGGGCAATATGATTTTGAGGTGGGTATAGCACAAAATCTTGTTTCATTCCCAAAAAGGAACTGCTTTGTACTCAATGGCCAGACCTAGATCCATCCTAATCATTAATAACAATTAATGCAATAAAACCCCTCGGGTACCTACGAAATAATACTCCAAAAAACACCAACAGGAAGGAAGGACCCCTTTGAGAGTCAGAAAAATACAAAAAATGGAGGATATTGAACTCCCAAACGACGCCAGCAGGATTTGAACCTGCGCCCTCAAAGAGGAACAGATGATAATGTGCTCCAAGATCGCCTTATTCTAATCTGTCGCCGTAACCACTTGGCTATAGCGCCGGCTTCCTTACTTACGGTATGTACATATTTAAACGGTTCATCTAGTTTCTTTCAGTCGCACTCTTTCGACTGAGAGTGGCTGAGATATTTATTATGACATTGATATTGTTGGACCGAGGAGGTGGTCGGAGAGAGAGGGGGAAGAAACCATGATAGGAATGGAATAGAGTGACCCATGGACCAGCTGAAAGGGCTGAAGATGCTGTTAATTAAAGGGGAATGGGAAGTGGTGGAGGAAGTGGATTCTGATTCTTTCATTGTGAATGTGGTATTGAGTGATTTCCTCAAATAGATTATTGAATAATTTCCCTGTGTATTCCCAATATATACTAACACTTGGGATACTACACACTTTCTCTGTTAGTATCTCTCTATCCCTATCCTCGATATCGACATCCTTTTCAAGAGCCTCACTAATCGCAGTTCACTGACTCTCTTTGAGTAGTCTTTATCAACTTACCACGATGAACGGAAACTTTATGACAGGAGTTTCTGGATTACTTACATATTCTAGTTTTCTAGTTTTCTAGTGTTGTAACCGGTGTTGTAACCAAGGTTCATGTCTTTCCTGTGAACCCACCAACACTGCTAATAATGATAAAAACACTCCTCGATTGAAAGTAACAACATGAACTGAAATAAATACATTCAACCCCCCTTCCCCGTCCTCTCCCCCCTTCACTCCCTCTACTCCCATCTCCACTCCCTCTACTCCCATCTCCACTCCCTCTATCCCATCCACACTACACAACACTGCCTAAAAACCAGAACTACCTAAATCCCCCAAGGTCACCGACGCACCCGATACGTCTCCTCCGGTCTCGGAATCAGCGGGGTCTGTGAAGACCACGAGGCGGTACTCGAGGTGGTTGAGGTAGTGGAGGTGCTGGAAGAACTCTGTTGCCTCGTCAAAGAACTAGTAATATCCGACCACTGAGTGGGGTCGCCTTCCCCTCCTCCACTGAACTCACTCCCACAACTTACCCCACTTCCGCGTCGCCCACCCCCACCCCCACGCACGCTACACAAATCAAACGGCGTCACGCCCCCAGTCTCCATCAACCGCACAAACGCATGATTACTCCTCTTCGTCTCGAACCCCGGGATGTTGCTCAGATCCGCGGACGAGGGGTACAAATGCCGCGTGGTATGGAGGAGGAGAACCGTCGTTAGACCTATAATACATAAAAAAACATTTTGGAATTTTAGTGTTTTGTTTCAAACCCACCCACGATGAGACGGATACAAGGGAAGACGAGAACCCACCGATTAAATTATACGTGACCCCCACAAACACCTCTGCGCCAGGCGACACTGGATGGCCTCTTGCGGCGCTGAGACCGGCGATCCCCGATGGGAGAAGGAGGAGGGTGTAGGAAATAGGGAACCAGACCATGCGGCCGGCGAAACGCAGCATGGCTGTGTCGATTAAGTCGCGGCTGAAGACGAGTTGCCAGCTGTCGGAGCTGGGGACGTGTTGGAATCGCCATTTGCTTGTGGACTTGATGGATTTTGTGGTGTCGCTGTCGTTGTCGTTGTCGTTGTCGTTGTCGGGGTCGGGGACTTTGTGGTCGTCGTCGAGGGATTTGGCGGAGCTGCTGTGGGTATGGTCGTCGGGGACGTTGACGAGGATAAGGTTTCCCCTAACGCGGAGGAGGACAAAGGTGAATAGAATACATGAAAGAGCGGCAGAGAGTAATTCCTATACTGAACATTAGGAAGAACAGACGAGATATGGACCGGGGACCGCACCAAAAAATACTCCAAAAAAACCTGTTCATCCCTATACCCATCCGTAATCCAACACTGCGCCCGATTCCCAGTACCCATGATACCAAAATACCTCCCCCTTCCCTCCCTCACCTCTATAACCATCGGCCCAATCACCACAATCCCCGCCACAACCCCCCACCCAAGAACCGTCGCAACCCAAAACCACCTCATACTCGCAGGGGAACGGAGGAAGAGGATATTAAACAGGTGCAGGGCGATGATAAAAGACCATAATGCAGTAGCGAGGTGTCCTGCTTGTTTCAATGCACCTTGGGCAGTACACACACCCCCCACCTGCACCCCTCCGTGCGCTATCCAATCAAACGACATTACCGTCGCAGCCGCAATCATGGCATTCCCCACCAAGAGCGATGTGAGATACCCGAACAGATGAGTGCGTGCGTATGTTGTGGATTTCAGTGGTCGGAATACGAATAAGGAGAGGATGGAGATGAGGGAGATGAGGCCTGAGATGGAGATACACTGCAGAGTCAGAGTGTGTGTGTTGTTAGTATTGCTGTAGGAGGGTGAGAGGTGTAGACGCACGATAACGCCAATCCGATCTTGAGAGTCGTACATGTACTCTTCCAGATTAACGAACGCAGACATGATAGAAATAATGAAAACCTCTCCAGGAGGTATCGAGGGCCTTGACACAGTCAGGCCAGCGACCAGCGCGAGTGAGGGGGGAGAAGAGAGAAAGAAAAAATAACACAGGCACGGAAGTTATGTAATGTGATATTATTGCTGTTTTCACAAAAGTTGGCGCCTCGGTCACACGCTTTGCTTTTTGGCTTCAAAATGATACCGAACGAAAACATTGATATCTCACTCGTTCCTCGACCGATTACTGTAAAATTTAGTGCGTTGACAAGCTGTAGTATACGCTCAGAGCGCCCCATGGTTATTTCTTCCAAAATATATAATTTTACAAATCTCAGCTATCAAATGGTGTCAAATGAAAACACAGATATCTTGCTCAATCCTCCACCAATGACTGTAATTTTTAGTGCGTTGACAAGCTGTAAGGTATCCTCAGAGCGCCCCATAGTCCTATCTTGAATGGTGTGACCCAGGCAGTAGAAGTTGAGGAATGTCACATATGGCCGGAAAATGACCCTGAACTATCAGGCGACTCATTCCTTGCTGTTTCTCTTTTCATTGTCTCAATGGGCAATAAGAAGAATGCTAAAAGAAGGCAGTCTGGAAGCCGCAAGAACAAAAAATCAACTCAGGAAATAGAAGAGGATCAACTGAGCAGTGATGAATCACTCACTCCCGATGCTCCCCTTCGACCACCTCGCCCCACTCCAAAACCTTACCACAGAGGCAGACCAGCTTACGATGCATGTCACAGCAATTTAGGTGCTGAGATTGATGATACCGCTGCCGCTAGACTGCTAATGTCTTTTTCCAGAGTCTCTCCATCCGAAAGTCAGGCAACACCAGCACGTACTCATCTGTATGGTGTCCGTCTATCAAATGAGCTTTCATCCACAAAGACAAGTTGCGCAGCCTGATATAAGTGTGAATATGTTAATTTGAACTGTGCTCGTTTGAATTCATCTTGTTCAATTGCAACACGAGTAATCTGTGATATACGGATAAATGACGAGAATGTCAATCGAGGACAAGATATCGTACCTTCTTGAGCTTGTATCCAGTTTGCCTAAGTGTCCTCCATATTGTTGTAATGCTAACCTGTGTACCTCGTCGCTCCTCTAACTGTTGCTTCAATTCATCAAGGTACATGTCCGGTGTGTGTGCAAGTAACCCGTGAATAAGCTGGTCCTTCCATTAGTATTGCTTCTATACACAAGCAAAAGAACAACATACCTTCATATCCTCGATGCTAATCTTCCGTTTTCTCCCTCGAAGGTCAGTGGTAAGAAGTAGAGTGCCTTGGATGCGTTTCCGGTGTTGAGACAGGATGCGTTGCAGTGTCCGACGTTTGCATGCTGATTTTGTAACAATCTCATCAAGAGACACACAATTGCGACGAAGGTTGATGATTGTGTGGCGAAGGTCTTTAGATAGAGGCTTTCCGCGAGTCATACTGCAGTGAGATGGGGTGTAACGTCAAGAAGGCAGCGCAAAGGATAGGACAAGCAGTAACAAACAGCTTCAAATTGATTTCGCTCTACCACATACTACAACTATGGGGCGTTCTAAGGATGCCTTACAGCTTGTCAAGGCACTAAAAATTACAGTCATTGGTGGAAAATTGAGCAAGATATCTTTGTTTTCATTTGGCACCATTTGATAGCTGAGATTTGTAAAATTATATATTTTGGAAGAAATAACCATGGGGCGCTCTGAGCGCATACTACAGCTTGTCAACGCACTAAATTTTACAGTAATCGGTCGAGGAACGAGTGAGATATCAATGTTTTCGTTCGATATCATTTTGAAGCCAAAAAGTAAAGCGTGTGACCGAGGCGCCAACTTTTGTGAAAACAGCAATAAACGAGAAACAAGTTTGATTGATGCTTTCCCCTCCGTCGGCATCACCGCTGTTAGTCGGAATCCACCACACCCACACCCTCCTCCGATGTCCTACTACGTCTTTGCGTTCCGCATATCAAGATTATGAAGGAAATCAGTTAAATCCCATCCACACCTTCGCATTCTCCAACCTTCGCATTCCCTATCAATTCTTCCGAGAGTTCGAGACACCTGATTCTCGATTCTCGAAGTCTTGCGTTTCACTGCCTTTCTATTACGGCCTATATATGTACCGCACTAAAACTTCAACGCATGAACGCAATGAATCGCTGAGGGGCTGATTCTTAGTTACATTCGTAATTGCTCCCCTGCTTCCAGCCTTCCTGCCTTCCACAACACCCCAAGTAACCTGAAGTTACAATCCAAGTAAGTTACCCTCAGCCACTCTCTACTCCAATCTCGCATTCCCAATCCATCCTCGGGTGTGGGTAGTTCAAATTCAAGTTCGTTTTACGGGTGAAGAGACTCGGGACCTCTCGGGACAGTTTTTGGGAGGAGGACAAAGAGAGATAAAGAGAATAGGACGTCCTCGTCCTCGAAGACTCCGGATTGGCTGGCCGACCACTGACTGATCTCAATGAGGAGTTGTTGACTGAGTCACTGGCATGAAGTGCTCAGTGATTAACCGGAAAGAGGGAGGAGAAAGAGACGTACTCAACTCCCAAATAGCGGTAATAATTAGTATTTCTATACGTCTTTGCAATCGCAATCCACATATCAAAACCCCAAACTCCCGAGGGCATTGGCAGTCGGATTCAAATCTTTCGCATTCCTTTATTCATTCCTCTATTCCCTTCTCAATCCTGGTCAATCCTTCAAAAGTTCAAGACACTTGATTCTCGAAGTCTCGAGTTTCACTCCCTTTCTTCCCATTTTACGGTACCACAATAGAGTTTCAACGCATGATATCTTATCTCTCCGCTCTTCTTACCTGCCCCGCTACTTTCCTCCACTCAATCCAAGTCCAAGTCCAGCTTCCCCAAGAACCTTGAAGTAAGCACTCTTTCGACTCCCGAACGCTCATCAACCCATCCAGCATTCCCGAATCCCAACCCATTTTCGGATGTGTGTGGTATGGTTCAAGGTCATTATACAGGTGAAGAGAGTATCGATCAGTGACTCGGTGCGCCCGGCACTTGATCCGTTTCTTGTTTCCTTGTCCAGTTCAACTGCCTTTCTAGTACAGGCCTACATATGTACCACACTAGAACTCTTCAATGTAGAAGTGGCTGAGCAGGTGTACCTATCTTCTTTAATTGCCCCCGTTCTAGTCTTCCAACCTCTCCCCACGACCCCCCACGAAGGGTAAGTACTCTCGACCTCTCGACTTCGACTTCAACCCTTCAACCCATTCCCAACCTATTTTCGGGTCTGTCTGGTCTGCGTTCAAGTTCATCGTCGTACTGCTGAAGAGAGACTCGTAACAGAGAGTGCCTGGGTGGGAGGTCAACTTGGCGGAGGGGGGTCCAAGTGGACACAAATTCACGTTCCTTACCAATCATCAACTACTAATCACATAAGACGATACGGTTATCATTTCATTGTTCATGGTACTATCCTGGAATCCAGAGTAAGCACCTGATGATCACCTAACCTTTAACGCGGTCTAACACAAATCATTTTTGTTGATATGTACATGATAAGTATATGATAATACAGTACATCAAATTCAAAGCAACGATACTTTGGTTATCAATCAACGGAAAACACTCGTCTCAGTAATACCTATGTAATACAATTCAGCCTCCCCCGCCCCCGCCCTTGGTCCACTTTCTCCGGTCTGATAATGACCTACTATAAAAGCCCATATGACGAGCCTCACCTTGGTTTTCCCAACTTTGCCTGGCGCAAATTCGATTCACCCCTCCCTCCTCCTCCTATACTACTACTCAGTGCTTGAGCTAGTCTCTAACTTTCTACCCTACCCTAGTCTATCAACCCCTTCCTATTGTACCTGCAATGTTCCGCACAACTCACGCTCCAACAACAACAACAACTCCCCATAAGCTCCTCTGCCTCCTCATACTATCATCTCTTTCCTTCTTCCTCGCCAACGCCCTCCCAATCGACCTATCCCCATCGAATTCCTCTTCGTCTTCGAGCCCCGAGTCACTGGGTATCCGTACGCTCACACCCGAGAACGCGAAACAGGCAAATTTTCTTCTAGGGTACACTTATGAGAACACGGTGCGAACTCAATCTTTTTGGTTTTTTTTCTCTCATATGTTCATTTACACAGTTCGCTCATCATCAATTATCCTTTCCAGGAGGTTGGCACAGACTACAACATCGCCACCCAATTTACCCCCGCGCACCATTTCGAAGTTGGGGCCCTAGGAACCATCGGGAAATATCTGAGTCCGAGACCTGCTCAGATACATGAATTAAAACCTGGAGCTACGATGGAGGTAAGAGAGAGAGAGAAAAGCAAATGATGATGCTGATAATGATAAACATGTAGTACTTTCAAAATCCCCAGTGTATCGCAACGGCGAAGAAGGAATTGTTGATCAGATATAGACCAGTAAATCTTCCCTCGAGTTTCTTCCATCCCATCTTCGAAATAACCACTAACAACTTGATTGCACCAGGTATTCGTCGATGCCAAAAGCCTCAAAAACCAACAAACCCTCGAAAAATACCTCACCGATCACAAATTCACTTCCCGTTCCTCTATCCTCATCGCCCGCTCCCCGGATACCTCCCGCAAGGGAGAACTGATCATGTTCCTCCCCGGAAACTACCTATCGAGTACAGCATACAACGCCACTCACCCACTCCCTGCTCTCAGCGACCTGGGTATCTACGTGCATTGCCGTCCTGTGCAAAGTAAGTCTGAACCGGATGAAAGATCTGGAGAGTAAGAATGATTATTATTTTGCGAACTCAAGTGGTTTCATTTGGTAGTGATGGCCCACCAGGCGTTTACAGCGATCGCACCATGGGAAGAGCTTCAGCCTTGGCTTTGGCCAAAGGGATTGACTACTTCGAGTACGCTGAAGTACCCGACGGGGCACTAGTAGATAGAGGGAGGGATTTTGTAGTACCCCATTCATATGAATGCAGTGATACCTTCAATCAACAATCGGGTACTCAAGTTCTTCTTGTCCGTCTGTTGTACTTATAATGAACTGAGGATAGCGTTAAGTGAAGCACTATATATGTACACCCCTAACTCGATACTGTAGTACCGTACGTCTGTTCTATATTTATTGACATTCCACACTACCAGGGGAAGTCAGTCGGATCCCCATCCACACCTTCGCATTCCCTATCAATCCTTTCAGTCCGAGACACTTGATTCTCGAACTTCCAGTTTCCAGTTTCACTGCCTTTCCATCACAGCCTATACATGTATCTACTCACCAGAGCTTCCATGCAGAACCAGCCCAGCCTTAGCTGCGCTCCTCGTATCTGCCTCGCTCCTTTCCAGACCCAGTCCAAGCCCAGCTTCGCCCACGACCCCCCCCCCCCCCCCCCCCCCCAAGTGACCTTCAGCGACTTTCGATTCGCATTCAGTTCCAGTGCAAACCGGTTCTAGAACTATCTGGGTAACCGATCATGCATCAACCTCAAGCCTTCAACGCATTCATTCCATACCCATTTTCCGGTGTCTGTGGTTCAACTTCAAGTTCTTTATACGGGTGAAGAGACTCGGGATAGTGTTCGGGAGGAGGTCATTTTGGAATAACAGTGCGTCACGGAGGCCTTATTCACGAGCCGTCCGTCCACTCGTTACCTCTTGATCCCACTCAATAATAATACTACTCCATATCGGTCCCCAGTGGCTCACCGTAACAGCATCTCCAAAAGCTGGATTTTTGGCTAAATTGAGTCGGAAACCAACCCCCACCAGTTTGACTCCGTTGAGCTTCTACTCAATGAGCTTCCACTAAATCTAAATCCTAGCCGAAAAACAAATCCTGCTTGCTCGAAATGTACAAAATACTTGCCCGAGTGGATTACTTATTTAATGGATGTTTTACGGTATTTTTTGCCCACCCACCTGCTGTGTATGTACTACATACTCCTAATTATAACTCGCAACAGCGATACTGCGGGCTAATAGCGGGACGGTTATCATTCAATGTTCAGTATGCATTGTACATATTACTATCAGGTACTATCCTATGTAGAATCCAGAGTGAGCCTTAATACTAGGTCCAGTGTATGTTGGGCCACTAGCATTTGCAGTATCACCTGCAGTGACAGTCACTGCATGGTATCTGCATGCACCTGCATCACACTTATGGCATATAAATGCCGGCATTTATATGTATTTTGTCTAATTATGTTATGCTATTTTGAATTCATTTTTGCTGCATGTTCAACTATTTCAGGATACGTCTATGCACATTGAGTTGATATATTGCTTGGTTTACAGATGTATGTAAATCCTATATGCTTAGTTATGTATGTCACAAGCACTTCACTGTACTCACCCATTCATATTATCTGCAAAACCTGTGTTGAAGCAACTAAGGGACTCGACATTGCTGTTGGCATGATGTATCTGCTACTGCACAGCATAAGATAATAACACCATTTATGTAACTGTCCGCTGGTCCTATGCACGAAGTACTTCCCTAACAAGCACTGTCTGGCCAAAGCACTGAAAGCAATTTCTAGAAACCACTTCGGTGCTGGGAAGTGCAGTCAGTCTCTTAGACAGAAATCTAGGATGTACAGATGCATCTGCATGCTCCTACCTTTTGAATGCATTTGCCTGGACTGTAACTGCACACATCTGCATTGTGACTGCATGCAACTGCACTGTAACTGCACATACCTGCACCTCATCTGCACTGTAACTGCACACATCTGCACCTTACCTGCACTGTGACTGCATCAGCCTGCACCTTACCTACACTGTTACTGCATTCACCTGCATTGTTCCTGCACTTACTTGCAGTCTCACTGTGGGCAATAGGGCTCTGTACCTTTGCATTGAAATTATTGGGGACTGAAATCCTGCATTCAATCACAAGGCTCTGAGTGTCTCTATGCACTACATGTATTTTGAATACGGCCTTTGGAAAATCATTGAGCCACCAATATTGTGAAGCTACTATCCCCCTAATTCTCACAAATTAAGCACTGTTGGCACTGAAATGTGGAGTTTATTCTGGGTCATTTGTGGATAGTTAAGATTATGAAGGGGAGGAAGTTACATTGCTGATTTTGGCCAATGGTTCTGAAACATCATATAAAAGGCATGATGGAAATATTCTTGCAATCTCATGGTATTGCCAGATTTAGGTTGAAGAACCTAACCAAGAGTCACAGGGCCATGTATAAACACTGGTCAAAGACTTACAAAAACAACTTAAACTGTAGGAGATACTTGATATAAGAAATACTTTGATTGGAAAATTCTAGAGGACAGTATGTGTATTGTTATACTTTTTTGCTTTTCGGAGTTCTCCTTGGCCAAATTGTCATCATTTATCCACTGCTTTCAAAATCCACCCAAATTATTGATGGTGGAATTTGGAATTATACCAGGTTTGTGAACACCAGCTGGTATCATATTGTAGTACAAGAGGATATTACTTACAAAGCTGAAATTTTAATGATACAAGATACAGAAAGCCTGCATTGAGAATCAATGCCAAGAAACCTGGCATCAGACTTGACAGAATAATGAGATCACTATCCAATTTCAATCAAATATTCACATATCCATTCAGCCCCTACAGGCCATTATACTCCCTGTTATTGTCATACAAAGCATTTATAGAATGGGATATATTTTGTACAGTGGAGGATCATCTATTTACATATATATTTGAGTAACTGCAGTGCTACTGCATGTCACTGCATATGTCACTGCAGGACTACTGCACATGTCACTGCATATGGTACTGCAAATGTTCTGTGCCCGTGTATGTTCCTTTTCGCTCCCTTGCCGCATCGCGGGGTTACTATCAAGCCGTATAGTAAGGCGGTATGTACATATATAAAGCTCCGGGGAGAGGGGGGCTCAAAGTTGAAGAGATATATGTTGTAGTAGTAATCCTCCTGAAAATTCAAAATCAAACTGACCGTGACGATCTTCGGATATCAATCAACGAGAACTTACTCGTCTCAGCAATAGCAATACAATGACAGAACAGAACCGAACTCACTCAGCTCCCCCTCCAGCCCCCTCCCTGGTCCCCCTTCCTTGAGCTTTCTGATTACGACTGTATATATGTATGTACTTGTAGTATAAAAGGCCATGGACGAGGTCACTTTGTTTTTCCCAACTTGCCTGGCGCAACTCACCCTCCTATCAATAGTATACTGAGTACTCGAGCTGGTCTCTAACTCTATCCCTTCCTCCCGTACAAAAAAATCCATTTTCCAACCTTTGTTCCAAATGACTCAAGCTACAACCTTCCTCCTCTTCCTCTTTATGCTATCTTTTTCCCGTTCCCCCTCATTTCTAACATCATTCTTCGGAACCAACGCCCTCCCAATCGACCTACCCACGACGAATTCTTCGAGCACCAAGTCTCTGGGGAGCCGTATGTTCACACCCGAGAACGCGAAACAGGCAAATTTTCTTCTAGGGTACACTTACGTGAATACGGTGAGAAAAAATCCTTATGCCTTCATCTGCAGTCGCTCATCACTCATCCATCCATCCATCCATCATGGTTCTTCTTGATTCTGATATTCTCCCATCCGTTCACTGGTCCCATAATTTGGTCCTACCCCTTATAACACATGAATGAATGAACCTTTGCAGGAGATCGGCACAGACTACAACACCGCCACTCAGTTCACCGCCGCTCATCATTTCGAAGAGGGCCCATTAGGCAGCGTTGGGAAATATCTTAGTCCAAGACCTGCACAGGTACATGAATTGATACCCGGAGCTACGATGGAGGTAAAGAACTTAACCCGCTTCTCTGATGATGATGGATGATGATAATAACATCACTTTCAAAACAGTGTATCGCAACGGCGAAGAAGGATTTGGTCATGAAATATGGACCGGTGAGTTTGAAACATTATTCCTCTCTCTCTCTCTCCAACTGCCAGCCCCACAACGACTCTGCGCTGACATGTTTATCATTCGTTGTCAAACTAGGTATTCGTCGATGCCGAAGCCCTCAAAAATCAACAAACCCTCGAAAAATACCTCACCGAGCACAAATTCACCACCCGTTCCTCCATCCTCATTGCCCACACCCCAGATACCGAGCGCAAAGGAGAACTAATGATCTTCCTCCCGGGGATCTTCATCTCCACCTCAATATACAACCCCACTCACCCCCGGCCTGCGCTCAACTACCTCAGCACCTACGTGTATTGCCGCCCTGTGCAAAGTAAGCACAACACAGTCCTCCGGACGTTTCGATGGAATTTTATAGACTATTGCTGACGTTTTTTTGGTTATTTGCTACTTAGTGATGGCCCACCAGCCGTTTAGAGCGGTTGCAGCATGGGAAGAACTTCAGCCTCGGCTTTGGCCGAAGGGGTTGACTACTTTGAGTACATTGAAGTACCCGGCGGGGCACTGAATGGAGGTTCTTAGGGGGGTACTGAATTGAGTGTACTAGTAGCTGCTCGTAGCCTGGAGCAATTATTATGCATTGGATTTAATCGGATGGATGGATGTGATTCGGATCCGATACTGTTGTTCCCCTAGTGCTGGACGTCAGACCTTCGGCCTTCTACTTCGAGTAACTTCGAGGAGGTGAAAGGATGGATGGACAGAGGTGAACGATCTCAGGGACTAGTGTTGATGGTGGACGCAACTAGAGCGTGAATGACGACTACGTAACAATCATATAGAGTACAACTCGAAGGTCAACAAAAGGAACAGTGAAGATTGACGAAAAACTCATTGATCACACAAGAAGATTTTAGTCTTCGACAACAAGGCCACGGCGTGAATTAGCTATCCTCCTACTCGACAACAATAACTTGAATCTACCTCCCTAATGTGCCGGGTACTTCAACGTACTCATGGTAGTCATCCCGTTTACCCATAATCGAGGCTGAAGCTCCTCCCATTGAGAAATTTCTTTATAAGGCTGGTAAAGCATCACTTGATCAGAAGAAAAAAGAATACAGTCAGTCTAAGATTCTAAGACGACACAAATCATCCCAACTCACTTTCCACAGGTCGACAATTCACATAAAAGCCGAGTGAGTCAACAGCAGGCGCGGGACGTGCAGGGTCATATCCCAATGTTGATATAAAAGTCCCCGGGATATACATGATCAGCTCTCCTTTTCGTTCAGCCTCTACGGTGTGGGCAATCAAGACTGAGGATTTGGGACTGAACTTCTTGTCGGCGAGATATTTCTCAAGCTTCTGTTGATCATTGACAGCATTGGCTTCGACGAATATCTATATAACATCCAGTTTAATGATTGTGTAGTAGGAACAATCAAAATCATCGTGGATCGAAACGACGAATACTTACCGGTCCATATTTCATCACCGATTCCTTCTTCGCAAATGCCACACACTGTCAATTGAAAGATGAATAATCAGCAATTGAAAATCTTCGTTGTGAGGGGACTAGGAGGTATTACCTCCATCGTATGTCCAGATTTCAGTTCATGTGATCTCGAAGGTCGTGGACTAAGATATTCTCCGACATTGCCTAAAGGTCCCTCTTCAAAATGAACAGCGGTGAATTGGGTAGCTGCGTTGAAATCTGTGCCGACATCCTACAAAAAAGAAATCCAGCATGAAGCGACCCAACAATGAGAAACGCAACCTCATTCGATGTTGAGAGTATAGCTCACCGTGTTAACATAGGCATACCCTAAAAGAAAATCAGCCCGCTTCACGTTCTCATGCGCATCCATATGACTGTGCCGCGATGGCGAGCTCGAATTCGTCGCGCTTGAGTCCACATGACTGTGTCGCGATGGCGTGTCTGAAGTCGACGCAGAAGATACGTCGATTGGAACTGCGTTAACCCCAAAGAACGAGGATGAAAGGATAAGCACGACAGCTGCAATAGTCTGGAGTTTGGAAGGTACGAAGGAAGGAGACATCGGAAGGTTTGTTATGGTAAGAAGAGGATTAGAAATCAGAGACCAGCTCGAATAAGAGGGAGTATGTGTTTGCACCAGGCAAATTGTGGAACTGGACATTGATCGTCGGGGGACTTTTATACTGATGTACAGACGGCAGGAGGAAGAACTCCAGGTAGCTTGGTCAAGGGACGCCAAGAAAATAATCGCGGGAAGGGTTGAGTTTTCCTGACTACGAAACACTTGTATCTCAAGTCAGTGAGACGAGTTTTCGGTACTGAATGGAACATACATCATGTCTTGTCGTTTGATTTTGATTTGAAACCTAACCGGCACCCTCTAAGCCTCCATCCAATGTAAGATATTCCGGCCTAGGCCCCCGTAATGAGTCCACATTCCTAGATAACAGGCGAGGAAATTCTGAATCCCTTGGCGGATTGGGAATGATAGCGAATGATAGCGATCCCGCTGTCTCAACCCTGTTGAATGATTTACTCGGGATAAAGATCCCTATAGTCTTCTTCTGCTTCTTTCTTTCTGGCTTCTTTCTGTATGACATTCAAGCCATGCGAGCCTGTCGCAGGTAAGCCTGTACGAAGCGAGGTAGCCATCACACCTGACAAGGAAAAAAACACAGGTATATGATTGGGATACAATGCAAACAGCCATGAAACGATTCAGCTCACTGATAAATGCCAGCAGATCTTCTTGGAAAATCGGGTCTGTAAGCCTTGTTCGGCTGAGCAGGGCGCGAGTCCATACCGATTCACTAACGGAAAGAAGATGAGAGAGAAAGTACGAATTTTGCCTATAGTCACACATGAGCAGTTCGTATAATCTCGAGCATCATCGTTGAGCGTACTGCAAATCGAATAGTGTTGGTCATTGTTTGACATCGCTCTTCAGCGGAGAAGAAACCTGAACATGACTTACCTCGTACTTATTGGCAGTCTTCAATCTTCCTCAATCTTCCCAGCTTACCCCGGATCGCTATCAACCTTGCACCATCGCACGAGTTTCCTCACTGCGTCACAGCGTCTGTTTCCTAAAATCGCCATTATTCGCGTCGTTTATGTCGCCGCATCCTCGAAATTACCTGAATAAGACAACGAGACGCGCCGTAAATAAAACCAAGTTGATTGTGGTCAGGGTGAAAGTAAAGACGATTGTCCGACTCCGGCCCGGGCCAAATCAGTGGTCTGAATCATCCTTGACCTCAAACCCTTCCAGCTGAAGCGCGTCAGTTCACTGAACTCGCGCGCATGATACTTTCGAAGTGGCTTTCGAAATGCGAGATCGGAGCGACCGCTACATTGAATTCACACTGGCCCGAATTCTTTACAAACGATAATACTACTTTCATTATTTTCACTCACTGTACTGCTCATTTATCTCTCGACTACGTATAATGTACATGAATCTCATTCCATTCAAACCTTATCTCAGGCGGAGGATTTGCGGTACATAAATTGATTCTATTGCGTCCTAACGCAGAAGGGTATTGATACAATTCTTGTGTCAAACGGGAGACGCAGCAGGACGCAACCCCTTCCTTCAGCGTACCTGCAGCCATCTGCAAAGGACTGTTGGAATGCATTCCGATATTCAGCCGGCTATTTCTATTTGCATTGGAATAGCGTTTCGCTGTTGGACCACCTTTTCCACTTGGGAATCTTTTCCCTGCCACATCAATCGACGCTCTTGTAGGATACCGATATCTCCTCGATTCTTGGGTTTGAACCAGAATGGAGGTGAATTAGCCGGCGCTATCATCGCATACTAGCTCGTAACGGGACACCGCGATTCACAATATCCCATTACTTCCTTGTCCTGGTGCCGCTCTGAAGTAGGATCTAGGGACTAGTATGCATATGGTAACAGACAGAAATTCAGACCACAGTCGAAGCTGGCTGGATGCCGCGTGCCTCCTGTTGCCTCATACACCATAGTTCTCTCCAAGTTCCTTGAATATTCCTGATGTAGAACTCAAAAGTACGTTCTTTGCGGTCCCCCCGACTTTCATCCTTGCGAGAGAGGCTGAAATGTGACGGGATTCCATGAGTTCTATGGGAACGCACGAGGGTTGATATGGGTGATAGGGTAACGTATCTTGAAGTCGCTAACGCTCCGCATGATTTTCCTGGATTCGAATTATAGAGTCGGAGAGGAACTTTGCTTTGAGGGAAATTGCACGATGGGCTGACATGGTCCTATCATAAATATTCTAGAAATTATGAGCGGTAGTGGGAAGTAGTATGCTGTACATAGTGGGACTGATAAAACCTGATCGATATCTATCATGAGCGCCCTTTCTGAACTAAATTACCACTCCACTCTTTTTCTCATCAACCACAACCACGACCCACCCTCTAAGTTCAACTTTACTACGTACCTCAATACTCTATCGACATGTCTGAACATGTACAAGGTGGAAAAGGTGGAAAAGGTGGAAAAGGTGGAAAGGTGAAACCCCCCACTCGGTACGATGCCATTTTGTTAATAGCTCTTCTGTAGGGTCTCGGACAGGGCGGTACTCAGCGTCACCGTAAAATTTCTCGCCACAGCATCACTGGTGTGTAGCATTTTCCAATGAATCCAATGCGCTATGATTGACATTGATCCTCCAGTAATCAACAGACCTACTATCCGCCGTCTCGCCCGTCGTGGAGGCGTTAAGCGCAATTCTGGACGTATCTACGAAGAGACTCGTGGTGCCCTCAAGATCTTTATGGATGATGTTCTCCGTGATACCGTCGCTTATACCGAAAACGAAGATCGGTAAGCTCCTCTAGGCATACACATCAGTGAATATGTTTTGGATGACGAGAAATCACAAGTAAAACCGTGTCTGCTCTGGATGTTGTACATGCTTTGAAGCGATCAGGTCGTACATTATACGGTTTTGGAGCTTAGTGAGTGTTGCTTTCTTCCTATCCGCGCGTTGACCTGGAACTCTTCCAACTAGATTTACAACGATATAGTAATATACGCGCGAAAGATAGTAGGTTTTGTCATCCGGACGCTATTGTCCTTGCCGTTTCCTCATCTTGTCCTACCCGTTGATGAGCATATGGATCAGCCTCTGTAACATCGACAGTCACGTACCAGCTCTTGCGTATCGTAATTCTTCATCGTAATGAGGGACATGACGACACCCTTCGGGGGATTCATACTATCGAGTTGGCCGACACAAGGAAATTTGAGGTTTGTTGCAGGTTCACAGTCCGTCATATCCCCAATGAGATGGAAAGCGATTGGGAAACTGGGCCGTTCGACGGATTTCTTCGCAGGCTTGTAGAATTCGACTGTCAGATCAAAAGAATCCTTCTCGCCCCACGCCTTCGCTACAGCTTTAACGACGACTGTGATTTGTACATAGACTTCATCCGAATAACTCTCTGTTCCATCATTGACTTGTACCTGAACACGCTTGCTCGATATATCGGATTCTCCGGAGCCGATGGAAGAAAAGGATATCGTGGATCCGGTTGAGTTTGCTTGAGACAAGCTCGGACGTTGTGGCACTTGGAGGTGGGTTTCATTAACCTAGTTGGGGTGCATACGTCAAATTTTCATTTCGTCACTACTACTAGGTTACAATAACTCACAGGTGCAGCATATACAGTCGCGACAACACATAATGCAAGAACAGTCCAGATAGTAACAACACGCATGGTAGGGGATTTTCAGTTTCTCGGAAAGCCTGAGGTAGCTGTGAATTCGTGTTTAGTAGAACGAAGGGGGACTGGACTTGTCGAAAGCAGAAATCAGATACGGCGAGGGATAATTTCTTTTGACCAGCAAAAGAACACAAGGTGGGTCAAAAAGTCGCAGAAACTGATTCGCTTTCCTCATTGAATTTATAAGTAATCATGGGTCCGCGTGCAATTCGATAGGTTATGGAGGGCATAAATGACTCGTTCCAGCCAACTTCAAGCTGTTCGGCGGCGGTAACTTACGGAATCGTATGGGAAGGTACGGAAGTCTGCATGGACGCGGAGCCTCAGTCACGTATGGCGATGTTTGAATGGGCCATCTTGTGAAGGTACGCAACAAGGCCTCGTCATGACATCATGGGACAGTGTTCGCAGCAGCGGCAGTTTCAGAATTGGAAAGCACCCCCCTATCAATACTCACCAGAGGGATTTCCTTCCTCTGCCATAAGCACACAATCATCCAACCAGTGTACATTTAACTTCGAGGATATAAATTGTTCCTAGTCTTCAACTATCTTCAGGCTCAGGTACGATATGCATTTCAGTTGCACATATGTAATTTGTCCATCCCGGAAACCTAGTGCAAAGCTTTAGCATAACCAAGGTCTAATCCAGACTCACTAAGAATTCACCTAGCCTTAGGGTGGAGAGCAATCACATCACCCCCTCGTGCTTCCTGAGAGAAAATATGTTACTCAGCAATTGTGTCATGGTAGTTAACAGGAAGACACCGACTTTGACAAAGAGATCTGGCCAATGCAGGTTGATACAATAAATCTGAGGAACCGAATTAGACAATGGCAAGTGGATGATTTTATATCGGGTGTTTTCAACCATGAAACCACTTGACTGCTCTCCAAAAGCCTCCTGTAAATCAACTTCTGTTTGTTTTCCCTCGTTGTTCTCTCGTAAAATAGCAAGCTCAATCCATGTCCATGTCCCATCTTCCTTGCTAGCTGCTAAATCCATAAATTGGAATAGTAAATCCTTGTAGATAATTAATTACATACATGTAAACCTTTTGCCTTGGTCATGGCACTTGACTTCAATGCAAAGCCGCTGGAGATGCTTCTCACTAGAACCCTCTAATGGCAAGGATATGAGATAAGGGCAATCATTCTGCTCAGTATAGGATGCAGGAATTTGGTTGGAATAGGTGTAATGTGTAGTACATGTCCACTGTGTGGGTGGTGTGGACTTGGTGAAGTTTGTGGAAATTATATTTTCAGAGCTCTGGAACTCATTGTCTCCAAAAATTGTGAGAAACTGGTTCATTCGCATTTTGTAGTGTTCCAGCTTGTCCAT